TTGCAGACATGAAAAAGAATTTGTTTAATGACTTGATAATCAAATATAACTTAAATGGACTTAAATGAAATTATGAATAATAAGCCTAATTATTGATGACTCATGCTGATAGTTTGTGAGGAAAGCTTTGAATTCTTGATTGTGAGTGAAAATGGCTAAAGTTGTGAAAAATTATGATTTTAGATATTGGAAAATACGATTTATGTGTTTTCTACTGTCATGATTCACTGTGTTTTGTGTCAGTTGGACAACTGAAGTGAAAAAGTGTGAAAATCAAAATCTATGCTTTCTAATTATCAAATATAATAAAATACATATTTGTAAAGATTATATAAACATGTGAATATGCATCTGATATGCCAATGCCAAGCAATTTGGTGATTCAGGACTGTTTGGGTTAAGAGTTGTGTGCTGAATTCAGACCTGTGAATAGTGACTATAAATTTTGAACGTAGCAGAAGTGATTTGTGATTTTCTCATTCAAAAGTGTTTTTTATTTTCTAAATTTTTTTAATTCGTTGTGCAAATTTGCTGTTGCTGAGAAATTCAGAGAAACTGTGGGATAAATTTTAATAATGAAATTTGAAATTAGAATGAAAGTGGTTTCATTTAAATGAACTCAAAGGAAATTTCTGATTATACAGAGGATCTTTTCAATCTTAGGAATAGGATATGATTTATTGCTTTAATATGTGTTGGAAAAATCCTTCATTAAGGCAATCTTGACCAGGATAATGAAAATAGAATTCTTAAATATGGACTAATGAGAAGAGTCATCGTCAACTCATTGAACAGGAGTTTCAAGTCAAAAGTTATCTCTTTAGTTGAGGTATCAACAGAATGATGTTGATTCAATTGAGTGTGTGAAAGCAAAGACTGTGATACAGCTGACAAACCAGAAATTCTGATATTAGAACAGGCTTTTTACTTGGAATGGAATAATTGTAAAATTTCTTGGAAAATTCTCTGTTAATCCGTTATTGTGGTTTTTAATGCCACAAGGAAGGAGCGCGAATTGAAGTATAAATTAAATATATATCATATAATTGATAAGCGCTATTCCAATGCTGCCAACACTTATTTCAGATATAAAACCCTCATCAGGACAGCTAGTTATTTTTATGTATATGATATGCATCAATGATAAAATGTGGAGGCCAAACTTGTTCGGGTAAAATGGTACTCGGAATCCTAATTGGCTAGTCAACAACGGAAATTGTAAGACCTTTTTGAAGGGTTCTTACTAGTTTATGCTAATGCTTGCATTAGTCAATACATGTAGCTCTATTCTATTTGTATGAATGATAAATTGAAAAACTTTTGACCAATAAAATTGAATTATTGTTCATAGCCTATATAAATATACACACATACATAAAATCAAAATAATTGTTTTTCTAGTCTTATCTGCTGAGCAAATTCAAAATAAAGTCAAAAAGTTCAATAATAGACAGGCACTTTTAGAGTTTTCAAAAAACTTGTACAATGACTTTACTATAAAGAAAATATATATAAATATATGTCTTTAGCATATAAATAGAAAACTATTAATAAAATATAGGGGATTAAGGAAAGATTTAATTAGTAAAACTATTAATTATGTATTCTCTCTAATCTACATTTCTTACTATTTTTATCAGAACTTATTATTTATTTATATCTAGATTGATTATACAAGCTTTCTTCTTTTAACCTTTAGCTTCCTTCCATAAACATCAGTTTTGAGATTGATACAATGTATTATTTACTGAGTTTTTTGGCGAGATACATTAATCTTTCAATTAAGCTTTAGCTTCTCAACGATACTATATGCATAAAATGGGATTTAATTTCCCTATTTTCCTGACATTGCTCTGAATGTCAATTGAAATGTCAGCTCTTGGCATTTGTTTACTAACCAGAAGGTTGGTGTTTCAAATCCACCATAAGATGTAGAAGTGATAATCATGCAGGTCAGAAAGACTAGTATGTCAGAACAGTTTAAAAACAGGTTAGGTTAATGCTACACTGACCTTGAAACTCAAATTGAATTTGACCTTGAGGCTTGTCAGCACACAGCAAACTGATCTTATACAGACTTAATAGAACAAATTAAATTATCCTTCGGGCTTGACAACATGTATTAAATGATCCTTCAGACTTGACAACACGTATTGAATTATCCTTCGGGCTTGACAACATGTATTAAATTATCCTTCGGGCTTGACAACACGTATTAAATTATCCTTCGGGCTTGACAACACTAATTGAATTGACCTTTAGGTCTGACAGCACAAATCAAATTGACCTTCAGGCTTGACAGCACAAATTAGATTGACCTTCAGGCTTGACAGCACTAATAAATATAAACTTCATGTTTGACAACACAAATTTAATTGACCTTCAGGCTTGACAGCAAAAATTTAATTGACCTTCAGGCTTGACAGCGCAAAGAAAAATGACCTTCAGGCATGACAGCACAAATTTAATTGACCTTCAGGCTTGACAGCACAAATTTAATTGACCTTCAGGTTTGACAGCGCAAAGAAAAATGACCTTCAGGATTGATTGTACAAATAAATTTAACCTTAAGGCTTGACAGCACAAATAAATTGAACCTTTAGACTTGAATGTACAAATAAATATAACCTTCAGGCTTGAATGTACAAATAAATATAACCTTCAGACTTGAATGTACAAATAAATATAACCTTCAGGCTTGAATGTACAAATAAATATAACCTTCAGGCTTGACAGTACAAATAAATATAACCTTCATGCTTGACAGCACAAATAAATATAACCTTCAGACTTGAATGTACAAATAAATATAACCTTCAGGCTTGAATGTACAAATAAATATAACCTTCAGGCTTGACAGTACAAATAAATATAACCTTCATGCTTGACAGCACAAATAAATATAACCTTCAGACTTGAATGTACAAATAAATATAACCTTCAGGCTTGAATGTACAAATAAATATAACCTTCAGGCATAAATATACAAATAAATATAACCTTCAGGCTTGACAGTACGAATAAATATAACCTTGAATGTACAAATGATCTTGAGTTGTTATACTGTAGTAGGGGAAAGCATATTTAAATTCTGTAAAATGCTATCAATATCTAAAATTGAGTAAATACTGAGACAATCATATCCTATAATATATGGAATTGTATATAAAACTTTTTGTAATTTTTCATTTGATATATTAGATAATACAGCTTGTTATTTAATGCTATTGTTATCAGCTAAGTATTTATGCATGTCATTTATTCAATGTAATCTGATGAAAACATCAATTTATGGAGAATAAAATGTTGTTGATTTCTATAAATGGATTAATGAAGTCCTCGTGGAGAAAGCGAGCTACTACTAGCGGAGGCCCAGTCTTTTTCTCTTTCAAAATGTTAAAAGGATAATATGGCATTTTTTTGACCAATCATACTTCAGTCTCACAAACAGAAATTCTTTAGCTAAGCAGATCAGTAATAGTGTTCACAGCTCATTGTCGAAATTTGAGCCTTCAGATCCATGTATGTCCAGAATTACCCGCTTTTGAATGTAAAAATGACGAAATACTCTGTTATATATAGAAAAGACATATGTAGAAATTGTGAGATATTTTTGAAGGAATTGTGCAATTTTCATCATTTCTAGTACTTCTGAAGACTATTCACATATTTTCAAGACTCAAATCATCCCCCCAATATGGTGCATCTGTCCCTTTAACAAGGCCTTCACTAACTACTGCATTTACAGTGTTAAAAGGCAGCATAGGTTGGCCCAAAATGCTATGTGAAATGCCAAAAGCCCTAGAGGTTTTGTGTGTGATTTACTTCTCTGCTCTTCCCTGTGTTAATTCTCGCTTATCCATTACAAATAGTACTTGATGGCATTTTGACCACACAGGGAGTGTAACTGCTTGGCATTTCAAACTCATGTGGAATTTATTGAACCCAGGCTTCAAACGGCATAAAATGTCACACTGGGTTTTGAACTTTCTTTGGCTTTGAATGTCTTCAGGTCCATATAGAAATACATATGTATAAGTTTTGGAAATTTTACATTTGAAAATAACACACATCTATGTCAGAAACTTCCCCTGAAAATGATCCACATTTCCATCTAAAAATAGTAGTATAAGAGTATATAAAAATTATAAAAAGGGCCCCCTATCTATATACTCTTATACTACTAAAAATTGCCCCTCTGTAAAATCACATTTCCAAATAACAATTTTTGTTTCATTGGTGGACACTAAACCCAAGCAATTAAAAATGAAAAGACATTATTATTGGCTGTATAATTAAAACACCATAGCATATGAAATGAAATGCTTTATTTTTTAGTTAAATTATGTGTGAAAAATTCAAATACAGCACATCAACTGATGACAGTTTAAAGATATTGTAAATAGGTTTCTAAAAATTTTATGTGTATCAAATAACATCAATTTGCACCATTCAGATTTTCAGTCAGATGTCTGAGGTTCCTGCAATTCCAATAAACCTAAGTGTTTGATGATGTCACTAATCGCAAAATATGCTTTATCACATAAAATTGTAGAAAATCTCGTTACAATCCCTTCAATGATTTGTGAATTTTAGTTTATTGGATCTGCAATTTTTGAACACAATAACAAGAATTTTTATAAAAAAATAACAAAGCTTTGGCTTAAAGGGACAGGTGCACCAATCATACTTTAGTCTCTGCAACAGGAATTTTTTTAGCTAAGCCAATTAGTAACAGTGATTACAGCTCACTGTTGAAATGTTAGCCTTTAAATCCATGTGTCCAGAATTATCTTCGATTGAATGTTAAAATGACGACTCGTCAATTTAAGATACTCGGTGATATATGGAAAAGACATATATAGAAATAGTGAGTAAAATTCCTAGTTTGAAGTATTTTTAAAGGAATTATGTGATTTTCATACATTTCTAATACTTCTGAAGATTATTTACATATATTCAAGACTAAAATCAACCCCCCAAAATGGTGCACCTGTCCCTTTAAAAGTACAAAATTTGTTAAATTTGATCTTTGTAATCTTATAAAAAGAAATGAAAAAAAAGGTTCAATAATTTGATTTTTAGAAAAAGTTGACTGAAGTGTATTTTTTATATAATACCCCAAGCACTATAAGCCCTAAATACTAAAATATAGTTGAAAACTGATATGAGTGAATATTCTGATCTGATTCACAAACATAAACAAAAACAATCAATTTTATTGCATAATGTTTATGTCGTAATCAACTACAAGTTTATTAAATTCTTTATAATTCCTATACTATACAAAAATAAAGTGAACAGTCCTGTTCATGTTGTGAATCATACCTAGATTAGCACAAATATCTTTGCTCAAATTAACTCTCTAACTAAATTTTTAGAATAATTTATTAAAGAAAACAACTTTGACTTAAGGAACATAACTATCAGCTGCTTATTTTTTTGCTAATAGGACATTTTTCAAGGTCTTGTGAAATCTAACATCTTTTTATTGCATAAGAAGAAGGTTTATTATTTATGAATAAGATGGCAAATTAAGACACTACTATTGGCACCATTTTACCTAACCCTGAAAAAACATGAGTTCCTGCCCTTGATTTATCTTCTATAACTTAGAGCAGGGGTTTTCAACCTGTTTCTATCTATTACCCCTTTCGGGCCTCTTGATTGATTGCATTACCCCCCTTCCTCACTACAAATACTTACTATTACCCTCCTTCCCCAACAAACCCTACCTTATTTTCTCTTAAATAGGATTTTCCTGCAATCGTGTCTGACTGAATAGAACAACTTGAATTATAATTGTCTAACACTTTTATGCTAGGGCCGAAAAAAAAACCTCCTTACCCCCCAAAAATGCAAAAATCATACCCTTGGGGATAATTTCCCCCAGTTTGAAAACCCTGCCTTAGATTCTCACTGTCTTGAGATCAACAAACGCGTTCAAAAAATATACAATAATAGTCAACAGAATCATTAATTTACCTATATTTACAAATAGACGAAACAAATATATTTACAATTCTATAACAAAAATATATTTACATGGTTAGAGTATTTACAATTTGGGACCCACTTTATTTACAATCAAGAGACATGTGCAATGTAATTTACAATTTATTTTGGCAATAATTTGATTAAAGTACTCTGCCAATATTTTTATGGGATTTGTGTGCAGGGTTCAATTTAGTAATTTATTACATCAAAATGTAGTTTGGCTAAGTTAAAAAAATTTTGATTCGCATTTCATGAAAATTCAGTAGCAATTCGAAAAGTAATAGTAATGTTGTTGATTTCAGATTGAGTCTTTCAATAGTTGTCCTTTCATCTATTGGATACTTTGATGCAATAGACATAGAAAGCGAGGTTCATAAAGCAAATTACGTCATCCATTGATAAGATGGTGACGTCATATGAATGAATAGCCAATTAGACGTCATTAATCACTCGCAATAAAACAAGAAAATGGGATTAAAACTGCCTTTTCTCAGAAATATGTGATGGTAAAATTCATGTAAAAGTATCATTAAATAGCTTCATCAATTCCAAATTTAATGATGTAAAATATAATTAGTTTCAAGGTGGCAATGCAGTGATAAAACATTACCTTTCTAAGGTTTGCGTTATGAGTCGATTCAATATGGCTGACACTTGAATAAGGTCTATACTGCTTAAATTGAACCCTGTTTATGTGTTCTCAAGGTTTTATGTTACTATTTCAAAAACAAAAACTGCCATTCTGTTGATCAAGTTTAACAATAAAAAACAAAAAATCACAATGTAATGCCAAGAGAGAATAAAAAGACTAAACTCTGTTGAAGTAGTTGAATAAGAATTTCAAAGCCTAGTCACTACTAATCTATAATCATGCATAGTTATTTTAGAATCTATAAGCTGTATGTTGCTTGCAATGTTTATATCTTAATCAAACTATTTTGCATACCTAGTGACTAAAAAATCATGGTTCAAAATTTAATATATTAGGTTTTTTCTTAACATTTGTCAAAATGCCATTTTTTAGAACAATCAAATTGCACATGAAAAACTTTAATAAAAAACTCTTAAAAATTACCTTTGAATCAAGGTTTTTGCTCCTGATGAATTTAATGAAAAATATTCAGCTTTTAGCATGACTAGTAAATAATCACTTGAACACACAATAATTGCCCACTTGAGATTATCTAGAACATGGGAATTGATTATAAACATTAGGAAAATTGCCTTAATTCTGAGTGAATTTCAATATGAGGAATTACAATATTCTGGAAAGATTAGCGTCTGTCATTATCAAGTGGGTTTCTTGGCCTTTTCTTGGAATAATTTTTTTACATGGTTTTGAAACAGGTCCTCCATGTTTTTTGACATCTTTAATTCACAACAACTCTGAAAAAACAAGAATGATATCTAATCACCTTTACCAGAACTATGTGTAGATTGTAATTTTAGTAGATCAATTGTTTGTAGACAAATTCAAATAAAGACAAAAATTTCGAAGGTACTGATTCAATATGATAATTAAAGAGATTGTGAAAAGGTTTTCTAAAATTTTGATGTACTGGCTATCAGTTTGCACCATTTGCAATTTATTTCAAACATCTGTGGTTTCTGCAATTCCACTGAAACTAAGTATTTGATGATGTCATATTTCATAACGCCTTTGTGATTAGTGAAGTTTTCAAACACTTAGATCTAGAGGAGTTGCAGGAACCACAGACATCTGATTGACAAATGATAAGGTGCTATCAGTGTCCCTGATACACAGAAAACCTCTTTACAATCCCTTTAAATGTAATTGGCTGATATATTATAATAAAATAGCTTTGAATGTAAACGTGAGAGACAGAATTATCTTAATACCTTAATGACTGTAAAGCTATGGACTATACTCCCATGTTATGATATTGTCGCAATGTTATACAAAATATTCCGTAAAAAATATAACTTACTCTTTTTCAGCACCACCATGTCGTTCTTTTGATGATAAATTTAATTTACCTCCTATAAAAAAGAGCCAGAACTTTACTTACAGAAAAGTAACAAATGCATTAGCTATTTATTAAAGGAGTAATCCACAGTCCCCCCCAAAAAAAATTAATGACAAATTTTAGTTGGCAAAATTTCAAATCTTCTGTTACGAAAATAATTCAATTCAAATCATGAGGAAAATATTTTCAAAATTACCTTGAGCTGCATCAACTAAATATAACAAAACTGCTGCTATAAGTGACACTGTAAAACAGAAGAAAACATATTTATCAATCTGAAAGGAAATTATGTCAAATTTTCTTGTCGTTTCTCAACCCAATTCTGGGATTAAATATTCACTGTGGAGTCAAAATTCTTAAAGATGGGTTTCCTTATTTTTTTAGTGTCAAATTAAGCAAACTATTTGATTAATTGGTGTTTCTAGTGAATTATCATGTATTCTTAATCATATCATTATGTTCTTATTGCATATAATTAAGAGTTTTAACCAATCATAAATGTCCATGTATGTACAGTCTGGATAAACAAAAGAGACTTGTTGACCTTTCTTGATCGGTCACTCATTGGGATTCTGCTGTTAATTCTCTTCTAATTTAGCTAAATATGAATTAATTAAGAACACATGAAACAAACTGGTATTTAGTCATTAGAACACCTCTACTTTCTATTCATATAAGTATTGGCATTTTCATTTTCATAAATAATAAGGGAACCCATCTTTAACAATACAAAATATTTAGTTCCATTTTTCCATTATCAGAATTTCCTAAAATTTATCTAAAATTCATTTTTAACATAAGAAAAATGTGAAAATTTTCTGTATTGAATACTTACGACATAACCAAGCTAAGAAGAAAACCTCTAAAATAAGATAACCTTTAGCATCTACTATAAACCCTGCTACTAATGATATAACAGCTAGACCTAGATTCTGTATAGCTTGCATACTGAAATATATAGTCAATTCATAACCAAATTTTATTAAACTTAGATCACAATTTCATTTCAGTTTATTCCTGAAATATTTTGTTGCCATTGTAATCTTACAAGTTTCTACTACAGTCCTGTTCTTGTGTGGTTATTTCTTACCAATCAAAGCCAGTCATGTAGAATCTGTTTCTTGATTATGATAACAAATTGTGTGGTAACAAAACCAAAAGTAAATGCTTCCCCGGAACACTGTTTTGTTGTGGCAGTGGAATAGCTCAGTCGGTAGCAAGTTGGATTGTCGTCTGCTAGTACCAAAGTAAAACAATGTAACAGCCTCTTTGGGTTTCTGGACTAGAACTGCTCATACCTCTCGGATGAAAATACATTGTAAATAAGGACTACACTTACATGCCATAAGCCGTACCTAGTTGATGACTCGCTATAACTAAACTAACCATTGGCCATAAAGCACTAGCTAATATAGAATAGGCTAAACCCATGATACTCTACAATATAAAACAATGCTACAGTATAAACTATGGTTTGGTTACTTAACACGGTTATTGATTTGGCTTTGTTTTTTCGGACATGACAGCTTAAATGTCAGTTTTTTTGGGACAATAAGTAATACTTTACAACATGTTTGATAATCATTTGTGGACATCCAGGGAATAATCAAAATATAAACCAGACCCAAAGCTGAAGCGCCCATCCCTCAAATCATACCAAAAAATATACAAAATAATAATTACCATGGCAACATAGGGATTAATAAATGTGAAAGCTAAGACACCATGGCAACCAATAGTAAAAACAATACCAGCTATAACCCAGAAGATATTTTTACCACTTTTATCAATCATAAAACCAAACAATGGTGAAGCTACAGCTGATATAATATATACTAAACTGAAATACAAACATAAAGTTTAACGCAAGTGTAAAATTTAGTTAGTGATTTAAAGGTCATGGTTTGCTATTTTAGGAGCTGATTTGGGTCTTGAATATATGTAGATAGTCTTCAGAAGTACTAGAAATGAAAATAACACAATTCCTTCAAAAATATCTAAACTAGGAATTTCACTTTATATTTCAATACATGATGAGTCATCATTTCAACTTTCTTAAGCAGATAATTCTGGACACTTATGGATTTGGAGGCTCAAATTTCGATGGTGAGCTGTTAACACTATTACTGATTAGCTTAGTTAAATACTTCCTGTTTCTGAGATTAAGGTATGATTGTTCAAACAGAACTATAGTCTTTTTACAAATTATCACATGACCTTGTCAATTACCTTATCTAAAAGGTTAATCTAAAAGTATTTTTTACCTCGCTAAAAGGCCCTGCAAATAATTAACCAATTTATCAAATCCAATAAAATAAACGTAATGAACTAAAAACATAACCTCATTCCATGAAGACATACTGACCTATTAACACTGTTGGCAGAGGCTGGTGAAAAACCATATTTCATTTCAAAAAACACTCTGAAAAACAATATAAAGGTTTCAGATTTAAGGGGAACAGTCTGCATTTTTGGGGATTGACTTGGGTCTTGAATGTGCTTTAATAGTCTTAAGAAATACTAAAACACAGAAAATCGCATAATCCTTTCAAATATACCTCAAACTAGAAATTTCACTGTCTATTTCTGTATATGTGTTTTCTATATATGGCATAGTCTCACTAAAATTCGAGTTGAATTTTTAACTTTCAAACGTGAATAATTATGGATACACATAGATTTGAAGGCTCAAATTTTGATGATGTGCTGTGAACACTATTACTGATTATGGAAGCTAAAAAAAAACCTGTTTCTGCAACTTAAGTATGATTGGTCGAACGGATAGTGATGGTGCTCCTTTAAAGGGATGAATAACTAGCTGAAAGAGCTCATTTTCACCTTTTTTATATTTTTTTTTTTACATTCATTCATTTTATTGTCCCATGGGTGGAATGTTAGACAGGACCATGTCCTTGTGTATTGGACCTAATTCTGACCCATGTAAAATAAAGAGTTTACTATTTGTATTATTATATTCCTATTAGCTTATTTTAATATCACAGGAAGTCTAAATTTTAAGCATTAAACTACCGAGCAGTTGAAAAATAAGCAAACTAACTGAACAGGAAGAATATAAATTAGTACAAGCAAGATAAGCCTTGTTTTCTTAATGAGTAACCCAGGAAATATTTGTGATAATGCTGATAAAAACTGTTGCTTTAAAGGGATTGTTAAGAGGTTTTCAAAATTTGAAAGTGTTTGATGACTGCACTAATCGCAAAGGGCCTTATGTGATAAAGCAAATTTGCAATTAGTGACGTCATCAAACGCTTAGTAAAAGTGGGATTGCAGGAACCACAGACATCTGCATGGAAATTTGAATGGTGCAAATTGATGCTATCAGTGTCCCTGATACACATTAAACATTTAGAAAACCTCTTTACAATACCTTTAACATATTCACAAGCCATTTTTAACCTATTTTCAGTACATGTATATCAAGGGCTATAACTCTAATAGATATGATACAAGTACTTACAATCCTAAACCAACAAAAGGAAAGATGGCAACATAATAAGCTACACAAATAATACTAATTAACCAGAATTTTAACCCAAAATCTTTGACATCAGTGATTCTTATCTTTTCATCTGAAAATAAAAACCCAAAATGAAGACCATGACTTCTCTCCAACTTTTGTACCATCTAGATTTGCACAATTTGTCTATGCATTTTCATAGTTGTCACAGTACCATTGTGGCTACAGGAAATAGGGACACGGGAAACGAACTAAAGGTTTTATTTTATGTCATATTTCATTGTCAATGACAATATCAGTAAAAACTTCAAGGTTTCCTTAAAGATCATAAGCCTATGACCTTTATAAACATAAATAATTATCACATACTCAGAAGTCTTATAAGGAAAAACCTTGAAATTTTTGCTGTTCATGCACAATAAATGAAATGACAAGGTTGAAGATTAGATTAATAGAATTTTGGCCTTAAAACGAAGAAATATTTTGATGATCAATACATACGAAACAGTCACATATCAAACTTTTTTTTAGGCTCTTTAAAATTTCTATAAATAGCAACGATGCTTTACAAATGCTTTCAAATTGTTACATTTTCTTTTTTTTTTTTTTCTACCCAAAATGTTGTTCAACCAATCATCACTGGATGTTCAAGCAAAAACAAATGACCAGTTGCAATAATTTGAATATGCAATAATGTTCCAGTTGCAATGATTTGACTTGTTTTAGAGATTAAGGTGGTTGAAAGGTACTTTTCAACAGAAGGCACTGACAAAACAAAGAAAGATTAGTATAGTTGCTATAGTTACCTGATGATAAAGCTTTTCTTTTGAGTATTCTATCAGCTCTTTTATCATAATAGGCCAATGACAAGGCACAGATTAATGAAAATATACAGAAAAAAGCACCTGAAATTGACAAGAAATATAAAGTTTATCTGTTTTCTGTTTCTGTTACAATTTGCAGCAGTTCAAGGGGCTTACTTCATTAAATTTCAAATTTGCTAATAGTTAATTTTTGACAGATGAAAGACAAAGAGCAAAAAATATGACCATGTATAAGGGAATTTCCTTTTTCAAAACTAAAGGGCTTCATTTGATTGGAGGGAGCTGCAGTGGCTCAGTGAGTTAAGACGCTTGCTCGCTAACCTGAACGTCCAGGGTTCAATTCTGGCATAGGTCGAGATAATACCTTCGGATTTTTCAACCCGGTTTCCCCCTGTCAGTGATTCAGGTAAGAAGGGCTGACATGGAAAAAGCGTCTAGTCGTTCGGATGAGACAATAAACTGAGGCTACAGGCTGTGCATGTTAAAGATCCCTTGACAGTTGGAAATCGAAAAAGAGCAGGCTAATGCCCCTGTCCTGGCAAAATTTCACTCATTGCACCCTGCATGGCGTTGCCTGTCTTCATTAGCCCACATGGTGCAGAAAAGTAGGACGTAAAACTCGATTCATTTCATTTCATGTGATTGGATATTTCTAGACTAAAAATAGAAAATGTGATGGTCTTACCAACATATAAGGCAGCACCTAAACATTTATAACCTTTCAAATAGTTTTCTAATAAATTATATATAGGATGCATAACATTCATATTTACTGTACTTCCCTAAAAAAATATATTAATATTCTTATTCTAAACAGATTTATATCTGATTATTCAACCAACATCATCAGTTTTTTTTCTCCATTAAAGGTATTGTAAAGATGTTTTCTAAGAATTTTAATGTGTATCAGGGACACTGATAGCTTCAATTTGCACCATTCCAATTTTCATTCCGACGTCTGTTGTTTTTCCAATGTTTTATGACGTCACTAGAGGGGAACTACCGGAATCTACTATAAATATTTATATGCAAGTCCCCTCTAGTGACCTCATAAAACACATGGAATTGCAAGAACCACATGTCTGATTGAAAGTTGGAATAGTGCAAATTGATACTATCAGTGTCACCGATACACATAAAAAATTTAGAAAACCTTTTACATTCTCTTTAACAGAACATCATTTTGGAAGCATCAATTGAACCATTTACCAATTGCTATTGATTAAAAACAACCACAACCACAATCACTATTCTCACTAACTTTTGATCACGAAGAAATAATAATTTTGTTACTTTTTTTGGAATTTTTTAAGTAAGGGTAAAGCATAATATTTTTTTTATTCACATTAAGAATAGACCTAAATTTAAGTCAATCTATGTCAATGATAACATATTTTTGTACATTATTGGGCTTATGAAATGTGCATTAAGCCAAAAGAGAATGACCAGGGAACATGCTTACCACACGAGAAAAACTCAACTGTAAACCAAACACCATGTTTAGCTCTCTACCTTTGAACCATTTAACAGCGTATGTATTCTGAGCTACTGCAAGTGATTCTCCACCAATACTGTAAAAATATAAAAATTGGTGTCAATACTGCGTATTGCAAATCTTGATGATATCACAATATATTATCATAATATGAAAGGGATACTACGTCTTAGAATTAAAATAAAATTTAAGAAGTTTAAACTTGGCGAATTAGAGCCAGTAGATATACCTGGTGTCATAAATAACATAACAGGATCCTTATATAATCCGATAAATCCAAAATACTTAGTAATTATCCATAAATATGCAATTAACTATAATTACTTAGTTTTATGAATTTTCCAGATTTTACAGGGATTCTGTTGTAACTTTATGACACCAGGTAAGTTCACTGATGAATATATACTCATATTGACCATTCTTGAGAATTAAATTTTATATTCATTCTAAGACGTAGTATCACTTTAAATTAAATAACAAAAAATTCTGACTGTTAAAATAGTGCTCAATACATCAATCATGGAGAAAAATAGAAATACCACTGTTAATATAGTGCTCAATTGTAGAGAGATAAAGAAATAATAAAACATCTAAATATCATTAATACAGATATCATAACCTACCCAAATACAAATCGTCCAACATCCATGATAATAGAATTTTTAAACAGAGCCCCAGTAGCAAATATAACCTATAATATAAATTATTTACATCATCAAGGAAATATAATTTTAAACAATCTTTACAAGGAACCATATTAAAGATGGGTTACCCTTTGAGGTGTTCTAATAACTTAGAAAAATACCAGTTTGTCTCACATGTCCATAACTAATTCATAATTAGCTAAATTAGAAGAAAATTATCAGCAGAATTCCAATGAGTGACCGATCAAGAAAGGGCAAAAAGTCTTTTTATGTTTACTAAGGCTGTACATACATGGACATTTATGATTGGTTAAAACTCTTAATTATATGCAATAAGATCATAATGATATTAAGAATACATGATAATTCATTAGAAACACCAAAATGTCAAATAGTTTGCTTAATTTGACACTAAAAGCCAAAGCCGGGTCCATAGAAATGCCAGTGTGACAGTACTCACCTGTCCCACAGTGACAAATAAACTGAAGATAATGGCACCCAATCTAACACCAAACAATTTATCAATTAAAAATCCACCAAAAAAACACAACACCACATTGGGCCAAGAATACCAGGAATAAAATCCCATGAAAGTACTTTCATTAATATCTAAATCTTTGATCATAGTGTCCTGAAGAGCAGCTGGGTTATCATAACAAAAATAACTTCCTGAAAGAAAATTTGAAAATGAAACTAGATGTGTCTAGTTTACTGCAACAATGATCTCCCAAAAATATGTGAACATCCTTAAAGGGGCATTCCGCTTTCTTTATAAAACATTTTCATTATCAAAAACATTGTAAAATATACCTGAAAATACTTCTAAAATGCATTTGAGCTGCACTAGCTTATTACATAATTATTGCATATTAATAAGCCAATCCATTGTCGTGATGAGAGTTGCTTTTGATGAGACTTTTTGGCAGGTTCTTCTTCCTCTATTGCACATTCACAAGAGTTGAGGGAGCTATGTGAACATAAAAGACATTTGGGTCAAAGTCACAGTCTAATTTTGATAAAAAGTTCTTACCAAAACTTAAAAAGCACATGATGATCAAAATTAAATATCTATGAAGCGATCTTCTTGGATCACAAGGTAGACTTCCACCACATCCTGTGATCTCTTCATAATCTCCTTCTTCTTCATTAGAGCCTAATAAAGGCTTCTTCTCTTCGTCTGAGTCCATCTTTGCTGTCATCTACCACCCTCTAAAACTCAGATTTTTTTAGATCTTGAGAGGGAACAACTTCAGACAACGATGAATTTAATTTTGACAAGTTTTCAATTACTCAGTCATGTCCCATGACAGTCCCGTGACAGCTAAAAATAGATATTCTATTCGCACTCATCGTTGTAATTATAACAAAAATATTATTCATTATTTTTCATATTTTGGCATGAGGGCTACGTTAATTCTTCAAAAGCGAATATAATATTAGTGTGTCGTAGGTAATTAAGCACCTATCTGAAATATTTGAATTGTCAATGCAAGGAATTTAACTTAAGTTCCCCAATGGTATCTACAAAGGGACGTAACTTGTAGTTCACTTTAAAGATTACAGACTACAATACATTCTGAGAGCTTTTAAACAACCGAAACTACTCTGATATTGCAATTGTCAAGAAACCACACCAAATACAAAACATCGAAGTATGAGTGACAATAGATTTTGCAAAAGTTTGAATACTTAATTGATGGGTTTAGGTGTTTAAGAAACAGTGTGCAATGAGGGAATTTTAAAAAAAAAAATAACAGCTGCTGTTTGAGGCCCAACATTTCCTCAATTTCCGCATGCTCCCCAGCCGGCAAGTGCGAACCTGTCTTGAATAGCTACAGGTCTCATTATTTTTTTTCTTCATCTTTTTAGTTTTGGCTCAGTTTAAAGTAAGCCTAAAGCAATCAGCACCTTTCATGTAAGGATCACACCCAAGACTTTACAACTAATAAGAAGAAAACACCAGGTAATGCTGCGACCCAATGCAATGGTGTATAATAGATTTATATTTAATTCTGTTTGAAAGAAAACAACAAAGAAAAATATTAAGATTAAATGTTTAATGATAAAATAAAATGGTCTAATGATGAAGAAAATATTTAGAATTAATGTAACATTCCACTAACAACTAATAGTAAACTACAACAAATAATGGCCGCCGCTATTAAAATCACCTAACACATACTTTATCAGGAATAAATAACAAATGAATTGAGAGTTTAAGTGATGCTGTCATCTAGATATTTATTTCACTAGCTCTATCAGCTAGTCAAAATATGGTTAATGACTATTGTCCGTTTTTTCTACATTTCTGGACAAAGATAAAAAAAGATTTATCAGCTGGTAAAATGAATATTTAGATCACCATATCACTTAGAAGACATATAATACCCAATTTTATATTTCCATAATCAGTTTTATTCTTCACTTAAGTTTACATTTAAGCAAAAATTTAAATGATGCAACATCTACAGTGACCTGAAAGGGCTTTTTAAGATTATTCCTGAACTTTTTATGTGAATCAGGTACACTGATAGCATCAGTTTGCACCATTCTAATACTAAGCCTTTTATGACTATCACAAAAACCTTTAGATGTAATTAGCAGTAATAGTGACACCATATTTGGTTAAGCATTTCTATAATTACAGGAACTATAGACATAAAATTGGAATGAAGTAAGAAGACAAAAATGTCCTCCGATATACATACAAAAGTCTTCACAGCCCCCCTTAAAGTATAGAAATATAAGATAGGTGTTTTAATATTGAATGTTAAAAGTACGAATATGAGAAATGGTAATATATATAAATTAGCTAACTACTACTACTGTTACTACTATTCTTAATGTTATATTTACACATCTTCACAGTAACAAGCTATTACAAACTTTGTCTTATACCTTGACTGCATTTGCCACTAATCTTGTATCCTGAAAGTTTTTAAATGCAGTGATTTGGCAAATTTAGTCAATCAGAGTCCTTGACAGAAAGTCTGTAAGCAGTAAGAAATAAAGTTTACGGTGATTCTGTTGAGGGCTCTGATTGGTTGTATTTGCTGAATTACAATTCAATCAAATTGCTGGTTTCCTTATTACAAGAATAGTGATTATTACAGTCAAGGTATAAGACATTCTGAAGATGAAAATTACATGACTCAAGGCCATTGACATAACAGCAGAAATATCTTATGTCAGAAAGGCCAAGTCTCATTGCTGCAAAATTTCTTTCATATTTTTGTTGACCTTTAATGAAAATAATGATCGAAGCCCAGCAGTAACTTAAAATCTTAGCTTACAAAAACATCATCAAGTATAGTACTTGATCTATCAAATAAAATATTTCTTTTTGCAACAAACTAATTGTCATAAATAAATATTGAGACATGAATTTGTGGATTTTCTGAACATCAAAACTCAACCCCCTTCAAATACAACAATGATTTCTGAGTACTATATATTATAATCCTTATCTATTAACGATGGGTTTCCTTATTTTCTAGTGTCAAACTATTTGATTAGTTGGTGTTTCTAATGAATTATCATGTATTCTTAATCATATCATTATGTTCTCAAAGAGTTTTAACCAATCATAAATGTACATGTATGTCCGGATAAACAAAAAAAGACTTTTGACCTTTCTTGATCGGTCACTCATTGGAATTCTGCTGGTAATTCTCTTCTAATTAGCTAATTATGAATAACTTATTTTTTCAAGTCATTAGAACACCTCTACTTTCTATTCATATAAGTATTAGCACTTTCGTTTTCATAAATGAAAATAAGGGAACCCATCTTTAAGGACAGCCAACACCTTGAAGAATTCAATAATTAAGATCTGCAAGAGCTGACCTTTTTCCATTTATTTCACTCAGAAAGTAGTATCCAAAATGAGCTCTATATGGAATTTTATATAATGAATGGTTTTCTTTGATTGTAGTATTTACAATGAGTATCAATATCAAGTTAAAAATCTGAAAATGTCTTTGTTTTGTATTTTCATCTACAAACACTTTAAAATCAGAACAAATAAACATCACAACAAGCTGGAATCAACATCTGAAAATATAAACAAGAATCAGGAATGTCAAAACAGAAAAACAGAAAAAAAATATTGAAAATAAACTGATAGACATGATCTTGAATTTCTCTGATTATTTTCAGTTGACTCAGCGGCAAGTGGATATGGTATGGATAATCTACAAATGAGATGATTTGGTCAAGGACCAGCTGTAAGACAGGTCCTTGAGATCCAAAAAGTTGCTCAGGTAGATTGCCTTGCAGAATCTGGGAACAACTGATCAATCATATGTTTCTTGTTTAGGACATGCATTGAACAACCTAGTAGTAGAGTGATATCAGGGGATCTGGAAGGGTAAGAGGGTACTTAAGAAAACACATACCTGAATCAAAATCTAATTTTTTAGATGCTGAAGATTCTCCCAAGCCTTCAATATCTACATCACTCTCTGGGGCATTTAATGCACTTAACGTCACATCTACAAAATATTTAACACTTTATTACAAAATCAATTATTAAAGTTTTTCATTTTTCAATATTGTACAATATTTTGTCAAAAAGTTTCACAAAACTTTGAGAAAAACTATAAAAAATATATTCCACAAAAAAAAACTAAGCAAAAATGTATCATGTATAGTAAGATTTACTTCTAATTATTATTTCAACTTCCAAAAACCTGAACAATAACAAAACAACCAATCAAAAAATCTTCTATAATTATCAAACAATAACATAACATGAAAATTTGAATTAATGATAAACTGGAAAAGAACAAAAATCATTTTTTTTTCAAACCTTGAAGTCTTAATTATTGCCTGTTCTGTAAATATAATGTTCTAAAAATAGGACAAGTTAGACAAGCAGAACCTGTAATATCTGATGGCAATTTTGTACATTTACAACCCTTGGTAATATGCTAATATATCAATAACTACTATAGATAACACTGATAACACTATAATATCTGCACTAGAATATCAATAATAGCAAACTTGACTGTTTTCTTTTCAATTTTAAAAAGTGACACAACTGGCTGAGATTAGGTTCTATAAGCTGATATATTCCTTTAATTTTAATTTGTTTTAGAACAGCAAAATATTTATAATGTCAATGGCATTCTTGTTGTACTGCATGTAAGTAAACCGCCTTCAACACAGTACTCTTATTACGTCCACTAATGCATTATCATTAAATTGTAGATTAACAAGATGCCAGATTTGAATTCTGATAAGTGTTAAACATTATACAGAATGCTTTTTCAGCTAGCAAAAGATATATTTAGATTATTATATCCATTTAACAGACCTGAAGTTTTCTGTTTTTTCGTCTGATGTTCTGATATATGTTGTGAGGAAACTGTTTTCTGTACCATGTTACTACTAGTTGTTTCTGTTGGGGGTTGTAAACCAGCATCATCATACGCTTTTCTTTTTAATTTATTCTTTATCTGTGATCTGTAATATATAACGTTCTTGTAGACAAACTGTTCCTGATTCCAGGGTCAGTGCTTCTTGGAGAGTATCATGATAGGCGTTCTAATTCAGTTGTATACGGGTGGGTAGGACTCAAATCCATGAGATTCAATTAGAAATCAAATCAGAGTAGCACAAATAGAAGTTTATATGGACCACTTTAAGTCATGTGTAAGATACTTTCTGGTTCAAGCATTATTTCTATATATTTGCTAACAGCATAACTATAAGCTATGTGGATTGCCAGAAAAGTATGTTGAAAACCAAAACAGTAGGGTGGCATCAGGTGTTCTGAATAGTGAGCTTCTCTTGCCCAGCCAGCAAAACATGCCATAGCATATATCTTCTTAGAGCTCAAATAGAAATGAATGGACTTTTACATTCTACACCATGTGGGTGAATACAAACTGGTATATAATAAGGTAAAGCTGTCATATTACATACATCGTTCTATTTTTAATAACTTCACTTATTTTATTCAAATCATCACCAAACTGTTTGACAGCTGATCTCAATAGATCTACTTCCTCATCTGTCCATTTTCCACTGAAACATTCAATATTAAAATTGATAGCTTCAAAAAGTGTCAATTATCCAAAAGTTAAAGAAGATCTTGTCAGATTATAATTATCATATATGGCAAGAGCAGAACAAAAATTTATGAAACATCTGCAGATTGTCATAATCAATATTGTTATGTGGTAAGTGGCAAATTAATTATCAGGCTGTATCAAGGGTTTTGTATGTTTAACCGACTCGTACACCCTGAATTAATCACCATGTACTATCACTGTAAGTAGAATGAGATGATGAGAAAGAATATTTATAAGCTTACATACCCACTTGGACTGGGTTCTCCAGTAGGATGAAGTTGCATGGTTAGTTCTCCTAACTTACTGAAAGCTGTACCAGCTGCAGTGAAGATCTCACCAACCTGAAGTAAATGAAATATACCAGTATGTTATATAGATCAGTTCCCAATAATGGTTTTCAGTTGTTATCATGGTAGGCCAACTAATCCTGATTTGAAAGTTCTGATTCTGACATATCTGCTTCTATATCCTTTGATTGAGTGTGAGGATTGTAAACTGGTGATCAAAGCTTTTATGACTCAATCCCAGCCTATAACCATTACAATGAAAGTGATAGTAATTTGCAGCCAGCAAATGTCATACAATCTTCACATCATCTTGGTAAAGAAATTCGTAGTTTTTGTGACATGACAAACAGAAATTGTGATTAGTAATGACACTGTGTTATTTGAGGATAAATGCAATCTAATGCTAAATAAGAGAAACTGCATTACTGACATCATTATCAAACAGTCTTGCACAGTTCTCTGTTTTGATTATAAAGCAATGACACTGACTAATAAAAGTGAACTGAAAACAAAGTAGTGACAGCGTTGTGTTGTGTAAATGAAATGTAAATATTGTGATTCGAGTCAATTTCTTGTCCTTCTCCTAAAATCTGGCATAATTATTTAAAAAATAATTCTTACCTTGCTGGCAGAACTCATCTTTAATTTTGTTTATAGCAATGTTTGTAGTAATAAAGCTACATAATATTAGGTTTCAGTAAATAAAAAAGAATTCAGATAACGCGCTGTATGGCCACACTCGCTTAATTTTCTGTGAAAATCGCGCAGAGTTGCGCCCCTTTGGTTCGACTGAACTTGTTTAGAGTTTTCATAAGAGTCACTTCGTACACTTTTTCAATAAGCGAGTTATCTGGTTCTATCTTGAGGGGCTCTTTCATTACAGAACAGACAAGAAAATGAAATGAAAAAATGGAGTTTTACGTCCTATATTTCTGCGCTGAAGTTGGTATGAGACGGACAACGCCATGCATTGGGCAAAGAGGGAATTATTTTCTTTAACGTACACGCACATAGCCTGTCTACAGCACACGGGGCCTAATTGGTTCTGAATTACTAGGCGCTTTTCCCATGTCAACCTCATTGACCTGCATCCCTGACAGCAGAAACCGGGTTGAAAAATTCGAAGGTATTCATCTCGACCTACGGGGTTTCCTAAAAAAAATTACTCTAATAGAATTCCCCTGAAAAAGTTTTTAAAGTAAAGGGAAGTATATATATGCGTCAGCTTCAAAATAACAAGAATTGAATCACATATTTCCTTATTCCTTTTATCATTTGATCTCCTTTGAATTTTAGGTTAATAGAGTACGTAATCCTGGTTTTATGAAATTCGTTTAGTACGACTGTTTCTTAATAAAAATAATTTACGATTTTAAAATTTTTGTTACCATATCATAGTTTTTGTTACTCATTAGTCAATCATAATTCAACATTTACAATTTTCCTAACTATGTACTTTGTTTTATCATAAAGCTATACTCGATGAAGTATTTGTTATAGATCCTTGCAGGTAAATTTTGTAGAATCAAACCTTTCTTACCGGAAAACTAAGATCGATTTCGATTTTAAAATGTACAAAGCGCCCACGGGCCTAGTTTAAATTTTAAAGCGTGAAAGTCTATTTCCGTGTACTTAGATCTGCTTTTGAAATCTACATTGTAGTGGGTATAATCTGTTGGCCTAATCTTTAATACTTGGCCCACATCGCATGTTGATTAATGTACAGGTTATAGACATTCAAGGTGCATGCATGTGCATTGGAAATACGTTCTTGAATTTATATGGTACGAAACGACTCAAATAAAATGTGGACGAATTGTCTAAATCCCGGACAGACGAGACTAATTAAATTCATTACGTAATCCTAAAAGCTAATCAATTCCCACAAAATAATACAAATTATGTTAAATATCAAGTGAATTTATTGCTAGAAAAGCTACCAGCACAAATTTAAATTTTCACTTTTGTCTCGTTACGTTCAATACATTTTCCAATGTGGATGCCACTTTAACCTGCCGTTGAGTTTAGCTGCTTAGGCAGTGGATTAATGAGCCTGCAGATTTAGTTTGAAACGGTCTGTCTTTTGAAATAATAGTGGCAACAAATGAATGGAACCATAATCTTGGAGTGTGCATTCCAGACGACCGGACAAAACGTTATTTTGAGGTTAAATCACAGTTTGATGTTTTTGTTTACACTCCTGCATGCAGCATTCGACTGTCATGTCGGCCATTTTATTTCATCCCTCTTACATTTATGCCTATTGTGGACTATTCTGCGCAGAAATAAAACGTATTTCAAAAGAAAATAATTAATTGACATCGTAATTAATATGATTGGGTTACTAGCTTTGGATGGATATCAATGAAGAAGAATGTTAGGTCTCATCAATGAAAATTCCTTTCAGTTTTCAGTTTCATTTTCTATGCAATGATTTGACTTACGACTTTGTTTTGGTACTGTCAGATGTGAAATTCGCCTAACCATACTGTATTATAAAACTGACACATAAATGCCTTTCATAATGCATATGAAATAGGTCAGCTGACATTTGTTGTTATTATTAAAACATGAAGAAAGGCATGATGTATTTATGTTGTAATATCTAAAAATAGATCAGTGAGTGGTTGGGCAGACTTGAGGTTCCAACTTACATCAACACCAAACATGTTGACATTGCTGATATAGACTATGTCTATTGATTTATAATGACTTTGAATAAGAAAAAAAACTGTATGCAAATGGATGTTTGGTAGTTATAAAAATGAAATGGAAATTAAAAAATGTCAGCAGGAAGTGATGGCCAGTATAGGCATGTCTAAGTTACATTAGGCTACTATAATTACGAGGATTGGCTATTATTTACATGTCTTACATTTTTGTGTAAATGTGCATATTAGCACAGAAATTGAACTGCTTGATTTAGCAATTAGTAAAAAAAAGTATCAAACTGTACATTCTATATCTTTTAGAAAAATATACAAATAGAGCAATGACCAAAGTCATGAAGGGCAGTCCGGCTGGGGGTGATTCGCCTCTAGACACAAGCCAGCCCTCAGGCCAACCAGCAGGCCAACCAGCAGGACAACCAGCAGGACAACCAGCAGGACAACAGCCAATAGTTCCAGAATCACAAGTTCCTGCAACTGCAGTGCCTGTACCAGCTGCAACTCAGCAACAACAGACTACACCAGCAGTCCCTCCCGATGCTAGTACAGCCCCAACTACCCCACCTGCCACAATTAAAGATGAAGCTGGACAGGGGGACATTGCCCCGGCAGTTGGTGATGATCAGGATGCTGATTTCCCTCTGCTAGAACTAAGTAAATTAGATGAAATGATAAATAGACCAAGATGGGTTGTTCCTGTATTACCTAAAGGAGAATTAGAAGTTTTATTGGAAGCATCTATTAAATTGTGCAAAGAAGGTGAGGACAAGGATATAGGTTTGAGACCCTAGATTTTTTAAAGCATCTTGCCAATAACTTTAAAACAATGAAATAGACAGAAATTTACTTGAGTGTTTATTTAAATTTTGGCCAGCTTTATAACATTGATCACAAGGTCAGCTGTCACGAAACAAAATAAGCAACAATTAACATTAGGTCCATAGAAATTGAATTTTCATATGGGTCTAAAATTGATCAATCCGAAAGCAATCTGTCATTACAAGTCTTTACACTATTATTGTTCATACTTTTGGTGTTGAGGAATCGTGAAGTGTCAGAGTGACCTGATAGAGTGATTACTGAAAGTGAAAGTACTGCCTCACTAACAGCACCAACTTAAGTACTTGATGTAGAATTGGGCACTCTTTTTCAAGTTTTGTCCCAAATTGAAAGAATCATATCAAAATTGAAATAGCAGCTCAAATATATTATTGATAATTGTTAGTTTAAAATGTCTTTGTGTTGATAAAAAAAATTTTTTTTTGTGAGTTGACATTGTAAAGATTTCCAACCTAAATATTTCAACCCAAAAAAGTCACAAATTTTGGCTGAAAAGAGGCATCTGTGAAAAAAGATTTTGAGCTTATGTTTATAATTTTATCAACGCAAAGACATTCTAAGACTGACAGTACCGGTACTATTTTCAAGCTGATATTCCAATTCTCACAAAAATAACTTGAAACACAAAAAACCTTTTACTTTGCTCAGACAATAGCTTATATATTATCTGTCACAACACTATGATTGACTATTGCAGGATTAGATTTACGTAGTGAAGCCTGTCAGAGATTTTTCCGTGAAGGATTAACTATTTCATTTACTAAAATATTAACGGATGATGCTGTTAGTAGCTGGAAATATGATATTCATGTAAGTTTCTTATACTATAATTTCTCTTTTTATATCAGCTTAATTAAAGAAGAATGCCCTAATAGTACTTGAAAGCGGTAGTGAACTTTACTGTTTTAATTTCAGTAAAACTTGGTAGAGGGAAATCAATGATTTTTTGCTGTTTAACTTCTTTGATAAGATAGGTTTAAGCTGTGTTATAACTCAGTTAGTAGTGAGCTGAACATTTAACTGCTTACAATTAGGAATGGCAAGATTAAATCTCTTATGAGACATAAACATTTTCTTTTGCTTAAGCTCATTCTCGTGTGGCTTATTTTGTGTCAAAAATCACTTATTTTCAAGTTAGATTCCAAGAATATTTAAAATTTTGCATCTGGTCTGAAAATCTCAAAGATGATTATGAAATCAAACTTGGTAAATTAATAAAGGAATTATAAGGCATTTAGTCTTCATTGCACTTAATTATATTATGTTATTATAGAGATGTATTTTGAAAAATGCTGAGAAATTAATAGAGTTATGTGTTGTTAAATTAAATCAAGACTGGTTTCCTCTCTTAGAATTATTAGCAATGGTTCTGAATCCACAGTGCAAGTAAGTAGGCCTAAATAATTGCTGAATTGGGATTGAACTAACAAAATTCAATCCTGACAACTGGTGGAAATATTCTGTTGGATAGTCCAGATCTGTCATTTCTTAACTCCTTTGGACTTGTGCCCTGAATTCTTCAGCTACCATAATAGATATGACCTGTTGGTATTGTGGAAAGAGTTGTCTGAATCAATTACTGACATATATTTTTATCATGAGGACACCCTCTGTGGTGTATGATTCTACTCCATCATAAACTACAGTTTTAGCAAAAAAATAAAAATAATTTTTAGAAATGAATGCTAGCTGTTCATGTTTGTATATATATTTCATACAATTGTCCTGTGCTACATGCTGTACAGGTTAAAGATCCCTCGACAGTAGAAATTGAAATTCCTGTAAAATTACCCTCATTTCACACTGCGTCTTCATTAGCTGATTTAGGTGTAGAAGAGTAGGACGTAAAACTCCATTCATGTCAATTCTTCTTTTTTATAGATTTCATTCATACACTAACAACAGACCTTCAGATACATGTTCTGGCACTGCTCCAACAGATGAGAATATATATGCTAGACCTTCAGATCAAAGATACCCTAGGGTAAGCTTAAAGTAAAATTTCCTACAAATTTTCTAACATAAGATGAAAGGCAACCAAATTAGCTAACCCTGAATATGCCTTTATGTTGAAGATATAAGTCAGGGCTGGTTATGATGATTAAAAGCTGTTATATTTTATAGATATGTTTTAAATATATTTGTTATGTTTTGATATTATGTTATGTTTATAGGGATGGTTAGTAGACTTGATTAATAAGTTTGGTCAGCTGGGTGGTTTTCAGATCATGTTAGACAGATTTAAAAGTGGAAATTTAACTGTTCCTGTTATAGCAGCTCTAATCAAGTAAGTACATGATCATTATAAAATAATCTGATCTATGGTAAAAAATGTACTAACATACAATATGAAAATTTTTATTACCGTGCATATACAAGTAATTGACATTTAAAATGAATACTTCTCTTGTTTTGCAGACCATTTGGACAATGCGCAGAAGTATTAACTGCCTCAACTATACAAAAATACTTCATGCCTATTGTGGTAGGTAATTTCTTTTTTTTCCTATAAGACCGGTGTAAATATGAAATGTTGCTATGCTCTTGGGCACTTAATTGTGGAAATGGGGAAAGTCTTTAGTTTCTGCAGTGAGCAATGAGGAAAATTTTGCCAGAACTTTTATTTTCAACAATCTAAAAATAATTTAGATATATATTTTGTGGCATGTGGAACATTGGTTGTTATGACAACCGTATTAACTTGCATATTAAAAATGTGATACAGTTTTAAAAAAAAGTGAGAAGTATTGTATTAAGGATGCTGGGATTTGAATTTGGCCATTCATTGAACAATTTGTGGTTTTGGGATTTTTGGAGCTCAAGGCCTCGGAAGTGAAAGCATATTTAATATGTTCTGTCTTACAGGAAATCGTACCTAGTGTATTAGATAAACTGACAGATGAAGAATTGAAGAAAGAATCCAAAAATGAAGCAAAAAATGATGCTTTATCTTCAATTATAAAAGCGTTAAAACATTTAGTCAACAGATTACAGAATCAAGAAGAAACAGTGAAAAATTTAGAAATATTTCGACTTAAAATGATATTAAGGTAAATTGTTCAATATGTTGGACAGTTATTCTGTTATTACTTTTAGTTTAAAATTAGTCTTTATTATATCTCATCTTATCTAGATATTCAAAATAGAATAATGTTACCCCTAATAAATGTTGAAGATCCTTGTGACATGTTTTAAGTTTTATCCGAAAGTAAAGGCATTTTCAACTAATGCTATAAGCTGGTGTCATTTGAGCAAACAGACAACTGAAAAATTAGAATGCAAATCAATGACCATCAAGGATATCACAATTCTTACTAGTTTGTCAAATTTAAAGAGTTTTTACTCCTGTCAACTGCAATAGATTTGAGATACTGGAATTGCCAAGTAACCAAAATCCACCTTGACATTTTTGGTGAGAAAATTAGTCTGAATTTATGTGACTTTCTTTGAATGGCTTTACACAAAATTTGTAATTGTGTTTTGTTTTTTTTCTTCAGATTATTACAAATTTCCTCATTCAATGGTAAAATGAACGCATTAAATGAAGTGAATAAAGTAATAACTAATGTATCATTCCACGCTACACGACATCAACAAATAGAAGAAGATGAGTGGCTTACTGCAGATAAAATGGCCGTAAGTTGAAATCTTTCTCAACTTGAATTGAAACATTGCAGATTTACAATATTTACTATGTAGATTTCAAAAATGACAACAAATGGATCCAAATTTATGCTTATATTAACATTAATCTAAATTTTGTAATAAAAACTCACATTTTTTTTATTGTAAAATTTGTTGCCTGTCAATCATTAAGTGGGTGTGTCAAAATGTATGTCATATTGAAAGTATGGATGGTGGGATATATTGAATGAAAATCATTTTTGTAAAATCCTTATGATCCAGAACTGTCTTTGATAATAAAATCCAACAGGGGAACAACACAAGATATTTCACACAAAAAAAGAGTAAATTTTTCATAAGATTGATGGATTTCTATTTCAGGAATGGATACAACAGAACAGTGTTTTATCTATAGTGCTACGTGATAGTTTACATCAACCTCAATATGTAGAAAAACTAGAGAAAATACTACGCTTTATGATAAAAGAAAAGGCTTTAACTATTGAAGATTTAGATAGATTGTGGGAAGCTCAGGTAGGTTTTTGATGATTCAATAATACTAGACTCATTGTTTGACATTGTTATATTGCAACATACAAACATATTTTACACACATATCTCTTGATCCAAATTCATTGTTTAATGATTATCTAGGCTAGATATTTATTAAATGAAATATTAAAACAGAACCTGAAACATGTTGTCACTCAGAGTTTCATGCTGTACGATCTTCAGTCAACTAAATAACAACATGTTTCTAGTTCTGTTTTAATATTTTTTATCTCTCTTATGTATTGAGCACTATTTTAACAGTGAAAATATTTTGTTATTGTCATTATTAAATGATATTTATTGATTATATTCAGTCTGGAAAACATGATGCTATTGTGAAGAATGTACATGATTTATTAGCTAAATTAGCTTGGGACTTTACAGCTGAACAGTTAGATCATTTATTTGAATGTTTTCAGGTAAGTCTTCATCATAATCAAATTAGGGCAAATTGACTAACATTAATGGATGGAGTGCAAGTGGGCTTAGGTCAACCTTGCAAGTACCATTATCTGAGATCAAGTGGAATTTTCAATGTCTGCTAGCAACTGGCATCAATCAATTTTTTAGTTTGTCCACAAATTAGCTCTTAGTTGCTTGAATAATTGATGAAAGTTTTAAAACATTTATCCAGTGATAAACTGGTAGAAGTGACCAGTTAAAAATTCTGTTATCCCAATCAAAATGTGGCTGTTTTGTTTCCTTCCATCAACTTTTTATTGCAAACAGTATTATTTTTCTTATAACAGGGAAGTTGGAATAATGCCAGTAAGAAAAATAGAGAGAAATTACTCGAGTTAATTCGTAGATTAGCAGAAGATGATAAGGAAGGAGTCATGGCTCACAAGGTAAGTTGAACTTTCTGTTTTGATATCTTCTTTTTCTTGATAGCTAAATATTCAAGGGTCTGGTGATGATGTTATTTATAATTATGTTCTAGGTATTAACATTTATAGAATCTAGCTCACAGCGATGATGTAATTTATAATTATCTTATAGAATATAGCTCACCGTCATGATCTTATTTGTATGTATGTTCAGTAATCTAGCTCTCAGTGATGATGTTATTTATAATTATGTTCCAGATATTAACATTGTTATATAATCTAGCACTCAGTGATGATGTTATTTATAATTATGTTCTAGGTATTAACATGATTTATAATTATGTTCCAGGTATTAAAATTGTAATGTAATCTAGCTCTCAGTGATGATGTTATTTATAATTATGTTCTAGGTATTAACATAATTTATAATTATGTTCTAGGTATTAACATTGTTATGGAATCTAGCTCATAGTGATGATGTTATTTGTGATTATGTTCTAGGTATTAACATTGTTATGGAATCTAGCTCACAGTGATGATGTTATTTATATTATGTTCTAGGTGTTAACATAATTTATAATTATGTTCCAGGTATTAACATTGTTATGGAATCTAGCTCATAGTAATGATGTTATTTATGATTATGTTCTAGGTATTAACATTGTTATGGAATCTAGCTCACAGTGATGATGTTATTTATAATTATGTCTAGGTATTAACATTGTTATGGAATCTAGCTCACAGTGATGATGTGTATAATTATGTTCTAGGTATTAACATCATTTATAATTATGTTCTAGGTATTAACATTGTTATGGAATCTAGCTCTCAGTGATGATGTTATTTATAATTATGTCTAGGTATTAACATTATAATGTAATCTAGCTCTCAGTGATGATGTTATTTATAATTATGTTCTAGGTATTAACATCGTTATGGAATCTAGCTCTCAGTGATGATGTTATTTATAATTATGTCTAGGTATTAACATTATAATGTAATCTAGCTCTCAGTGATGATGTTATTTATAATTATGTTCTAGGTATTAACATCGTTATGGAATCTAGCTCTCAGTGATGATGTTATTTATAATTATGTCTAGGTATTAACATTATAATGTAATCTAGCTCTCAGTGATGATGTTATTTATAATTATGTTCTAGGTATTAACATTGTTATGGAATCTAGCTCTCAGTGATGATGTTATTTATAATTATGTCTAGGTATTAACATTATAATGTAATCTAGCTCTCAGTGATGATGTTATTTATAATTATGTTCTAGGTATTAACATCATTTATAATTTTGTTCTAGGTATTAACAATGTTATGGAATCTAGCTCTCAGTGATGATGTTATTTATAATTATGTCTAGGTATTAACATTATAATGTAATCTAGCTCTCAGTGATGATGTTATTTATAATTATGTTCTAGGTATTAACATTGTTGTGGAATCTAGCTCATAGTGATGATGTTATTTATAATTATGTTCTAGGTATTAACATTGTTGTGGAATCTAGCTCATAGTGATGATGTACCAACAGAGATAATGGATCAGGCGCTCACCTCACATATCAAAATATTAGACTATAGTTGTTCACAAGATAGAGATAATCAAAAGATGCAGTGGATCAATAGATTTGTAGAAGAATTGAAGAATGACAAGTGGGTTTTACCATCTTTAAAACAGATACGAGAAATATGTCAACTGTTTCCTGAGGTAGGTTATAGTGTTTTGAAAAGAAAAATTTGAATATCACTAGCAAGAGGCAAAAATGCTTTTTACCTGTTTGTTTTTAAGTTCTTTCTGCAGCTTGAGATGAAGTCATGTTAAATTTAAGTTGAGAGTACATATACTGTAGAAAAAGTCTTACTCTCATAGTATAGCTGGTATTCCAAAATATGACATTTTGGCCCACATTTCTAAATCTAGCCATCTTTTTGAACCTGAAACATGTGTTTCCAGTCCTGAGATGTGTTATCGTCAATAAGTGATAGTGTTTTAATCTTACTCTGGATAGTGGTGGATTTTCGCTGTCACTGCTCGCTTTTCTCTGTGGCACAATCAGTGACAAGTTGACTAGTATGAGATTGATCATTCTTCAATAGTTCAATATGGATATATCAAGAGCTTGATATGAATGACTAACATATCCTTGGTGGATGTGGATCAATGGCCCAACAAATTAAGAACTAACTGGTTAATGTTGACTTTACATACTATTTTCAGGCTCCACAGAATTTCCCTCACACTCAGAGAGCAGCTCATATGTACTATAGAAATAATGTTATTAGTCAGTTACAAGCTCAACATTCTATAGTAATGTTAGTTAGTCAGAATTTATCAGCTTATATGAATAAAGCTAGACAGTATAACAAAGGTAAGTAAACCATATTGAAAAAAGGGATGAAGGCTGACTCAAAACATAAAATGAGCAGAATTTGTATCTAATGGCAGACTGAGCAGAACAACTGTTATACATAGTCTAAAACTAAAAAAATTAATAGAATAAAAACATAGTTTCAAACAACTCAGATATTTTCTATGAAGGTGACATTATCATGGCTAATATATTCATAAATAAACCGCCATATATTGGATATATCAGAAGATTCAGTGTTACCTTGACATCATAGGATAATTGATGGTTCTACTAAGTCTTTTGAGAGAAGTCATGAATGCTGTTTAAAAGGCACCTTTGAGCATCCTTCTGTTAAATTTCAGATAATCCAGAAGAAGATCCTGCTACTATTAATCCTGATGGTAGATTTAATCATAATGTACAGGTTCAAGAACGTCTTAGATTTTTAAGGTATGAAAACTTGTAGAATATAAACTTCATTTACTTTGTGAGAATATATGTGATGGACTGACTTAGAAAAAGCATCTTGTCCTTCAGAAGGGTCCTTGTGTATTACTGTTGGAAATCAACAAAGAGTAGGCAAAAGCTGTTGTCTTGGCAAAAAGTCCCTCATTGGACACTGCATTTGTTACCTATCGTCATTAAGTACAGAAGAGTTGGAAGTTAAGCTAAAAATTCTATTTTTGTGACAATGTACCATAGACAATGTTGAAAAGCAAGGCAAGATTTGAATTATATTTTATCATCAAAAGATAGCTCTGGTTAAAGGGATTGTAAAGAGGTTTTCTAAACTTTTTATGTGCGTCAATTTTCACCATTCCAGTTTTCATTCCGACGTTTAGTGATGTCATCAAACGCGTTAGTTTTCATGGAATTCAAGAACTACAGGAGTTGGAATAAAATTGATGCTATCAGTGTCCCTGATACACATAAAAAGTTTAGAAAATCTCTTTACAATCTCTTAACGGTATTGTATACCTCAGACCATTTGATGTTATATTGCAGGTTTCTATTAAAAGACGGTCAGCTATGGCTATGTGAACCACAAGCAAGACAGATATGGCATTGTTTAGCTGAAAATGCTATATATTTCTCAGATAGAGAAGCCTGTTTTAAATGGTTTGCTAAAGTAGGTTAACCCACATTTTATCTGTTAAAAGAAAACCTTATCATTACTAAATATGCACCAGACCCAAGACCAATAAATCCCACTAGACCCAAGAGAGCCTTAGATTGAGCTGCACAAGAACCAGTACCCATAAATTAAGCAAATGTAATATACAGCCAATTATTTTGTAAATTGTTATAGCTGTAAATAAAGGCACAGAGGAAATGCTGCCATCAAAGAATGTGCTATGTAAATGCATTGCAAAAATGTCAATTATGAAGCCATGAAAGTCGTTCATATATTGTGATTGACATATTAAGACATCACTTTTGGCACATTAACAATTCTCAACTAGATTTATGGGTTTTGAGTCTGCTGTGACACCATTATGTTTTATTTCTAGTTGATGGGTGAGGAACCAGATCTAGATCCTGAAATTACCAGAGATTTCTTTGAGAAGAATATATTACAATTAGATCCTAGTTTATTAACAGAACATGGCATGAAGTAAGTCATTTTAGTTGGCTTTATTTCTTTATGTATATATATATATATATATGACAATCATCTAACAATGACTATTAATTGATGTAAGAATTTATTAAAGGAGATAAGTATTATTATATAAAAGCCAGTACGAAAAATAGACTAGCATCAAGATCAAAGGAACATGCTGCCATCAAAGAATGTGCTATGTAAATGCATTGCAAAAATGTCAATTATGAAGCCATGAAAGTTGTTCATATATTGTGATTGACATATTAAGACATCACTTTTGGCACATTACCAATTAAGAATTTATTAAAGGAGATAAGTATTATTATATAAAAGCCAGTACGAAAAATAGACTAGCATCAAGATCATAGGAACATGCTGCCATCAAAGAATGTGCTATGTAAATGCATTGCAAAAATGTCAATTATGAAGCCTTGAAAGTCGTTCATATATTGTGATTGACATATTAAGACATCACTTTTGGCACATTACCAATTAAGAATTTATTAAAGGAGATAAGTATTATTATATAAAAGCCAGTAAGAAAAATAGACTAGCATCAAGATCATAGGAACACCTGAAATTTTACTCTGTAAGTTGGAACAATGCTAAGAAAAATCACTAATGATTGGTATTCATTAAAAAATACCAGTATTCAAAGAGCTTTGTGAACATTCTATAAGGACTGACATAAGCTGTTTAAGCACACCTTACTTACGACTAGTGCTTGGACAGCATGCACATAGTATTACGACGCCATGTATCGATACTTAAATATACATTTCATTATAAACTTGGTTTATGATCAAACAATTTTTTTCACTGAAATTGTAGGTAACTTTTAATACGGTGGACTCTAACCATTTCTATCAACTATATTACCAAATATCACAGTAATAAAGTTATGAATTGATATATGTAGAAACTTTGAAGATAAATGTTAATTTTTATCCCATTAGCTCATATCGCAATGCTTATAGTATCATGGCCATTGCGATACGTATTGATGGTGACCTGATTGACGATACCCAGCACTATTTATGACACCTACCACAATAATTATCTAGTTATATAATTGTTGGGCTCAAGAGTCAATTTCATGACTAATTTGTTTATTTTTCAGTTGTTTTGAGAGGTTTTTTAAACAAGTTAATTTAAAAGAAAATAAATTAATAGCTAAAAGAAGAGGCGGTCACATGATGGATGATATGGAATTGATTGGTTTAGATTATTTATGGAGGGTAAGTGTAGATTAGGCATGTTAAAACAGTTTTGCTTTCTTTTTTTTGCTTCATTTTCCAATCCTGATTTGAGGTCTCTTTTGAAAACTGTTCTCTTTTGATGATTCAATGAAGTACATACTTTCTTGCTAACTGGGAGATGGGGATTTTCTATTTGCAAGAAGCAGGAAAATTCAATCATATTTTTTCAAAAAGGTCCCCAGTTTGAAAGATAAAGGTGAAAGGAACCAACTAGTAGATGCATCTGGTAATAAGAATAAATATAAGAGGCTTGCTGTGAAACAGTTGGTATACTTGTCTTTAGACGATTATATAGTGTAGAGTTTTCCTCATTGTGCATGGCATAATGTAGCTTATTACCATAAATTAAAAATAATGTTAGTAGGGTGTAAAACTCAATTATTTCATGTGTACATCTATTTGATTTTCTAGGTAGTATTATTAAGTCCTGATGACGTAGCAGAGAAAGCCATTTTGTTATTAAAAGACATTTTCACAAATCTTAGTCCCCGCTTACAACAAAGTCAAGTTGAAATACATGAAGATTTTATTCAATCGTGTGTTGATAGACTGAAAGCGTTATATGATACTGTATCAGTGTTAGAGAAAGATAAAGATTCTATGAATCGTGTCATGCAAGAGACAATACGTATGGTCAGGATATTGACAGTGCTAAAGGAATATGTAGGAGAATGTGATGAAGCTTATAATGAAGAGAGAATGATATTGCCATTAAGCAGGTAAATTATTTAGTTTTGTTAGATTTTCAATAACTAGTCATTGAAATAAAAAAAATCTGCCATAGTGCTCTACTTTTGGATTCGATATCCCACAATTCCTTATTTGATCAAAATACCTTTGGATTTTTCAACCTGGTTTCCCCTTGTCAGTGATGCAGGTGAGAGGGGCTGACATGGAAAAAGCGTCTAGTCGTTCATATGGGACAATAAACCGAGGCCCCGTGTGCTACAGGCTGTGCACGTTAAAGATCCCTCGACAGTAGGAAATCTAAAAAGAGCAGGCTAATGCCCCTGTCCTGGTAAAATTTCCCTCATTGCACCCTGCATGGCGTTGCCCGTCTTCATTAGCCCACATGGTGCATAAAAGTAGGACATAAAACTCCATTTTAAAGCAATTCTATCTTGTTTTTTTCATTTCAGAGCTTGTAAAGGGAAATTAGTGACGCTGAAAATACGATTTCCTAATCAAGGTCGTCAAGTTGAAGATTTAGAAATATTTTCTCATACTAATGATACTATAGGATCTTTACGTAGACAGATACATCGTGTTAAAGCTAATACTAATAATGTGAAAGTTGAACTCTTTCTAAATGCTGAACAAATAGATTCTATAGATGATAAAAAACTAATATCTCATATTCCACTACGTGATAAAATGGTAAGTCACAATGGACAATATTTACTTGAGCCGACAAATTTTTTATCTCCTTTTTTTATTGCTTTATGGATCCTCTTACCTAGAGTTTTTGTTAACAAGAAAATAAATTGGTCTGGCCTTGTGTTGAAAAAAGGGTTAATTAAGGTGAATTTGAATATCAACTGCCTTATATGACTTCTTTCTTTGCACTTTCGTTAAAAAGTTTTATGGATACTTTTTAGTGAATATCATTTTAATGTTCATGAAATTACTTGTGTATTGACACAATACAATTATATTGACAACAAATCCAACTTGTTCTGGTTGACTTTCTTGATTCCCTTGTCCAGTTTGAAAAGTTTTATAGGCCTACTTGATTCGGGTCATTAAATTGCAGATAGTTCTGTATTGATATGTGGCAGATAGGTCTGTATTGATATGTTGCAGATAGTTCTGTATTGATATGTTGCAGATAGTTCTGTATTGATATGTTGCAGATAGTTCTGTATTGATATGTGGCAGATAGTTCTGTATTGATATGTGGCAGATAGTTCTGTATTGATATGTACCAGATAGTTCTGTATTGATATGTTGCAGATAGTTCTGTATTGATATGTTGCAGATAGTTCTGTATTGATATGTTGCAGATAGTTCTGTATTGATATGTGGCAGATAGTTCTGTATTGATATGTGGCAGATAGTTCTGTATTGATATGTACCAGATAGTTCTGTATTGATATGTTGCAGATAGTTCTGTATTGATATGTTACAGATAGTTCTGTATTGATATGTTGCAGATAGTTCTGTATTGATATGTTACAGATAGTTCTGTATTGATATGTTGCAGATAGTTCTGTATTGATATGTGGCAGATAGTTCTGTATTGATATGTACCAGATAGTTCTGTATTGATATGTTGCAGATAGTTCTGTATTGATATGTTGCAGATAGTTCTGTATTGATATGTTGCAGATCTTTCTGTATTGATATGTTGCAGATAGTTCTGTATTGATATGTGGCAGATAGTTCTGTATTGATATGTTACAGATAGTTCTGTATTGATATGTTGCAGATAGTTCTGTATTGATATGTTGCAGATCTTTCTGTATTGATATGTTGCAGATAGTTCTGTATTGATATGTTACAGATAGTTCTGTATTGATATGTGGCAGATAGTTCTGTATTGATATGTACCAGATAGTTCTGTATTGATATGTGCCAGATAGTTCTGTATTGATATGTTGCAGATAGTTCTGTTTTGATATGTGCCAGATAGTTCTGTATTGATATGTGCCAGATAGTTCTGTATTGATATTTGGCAGATAGTTCTGTATTGATATGTGGCAGATAGTTCTGTATTGATATGCATTAATTGGCTTTTATTGTAGACACTGACAGCAAAGTTGGTACAAGCTGGTAGTAATATGCCATCTAGTCCTGATAGTAGTTCTGATAGTTCAGTTGGTTCTCCACACAATACTTATGATGGTCCAAACATAGAGGCTGAGAATTATCTTCCTGGAGTCGTAAGTTTTATATTATTTTAATCAGTGCCTGTTGATCTTGTTATTGTTAATCCTTCGTTACTATTTGCTAGTCAACCTTAGAATAAATATGTTTTAGTTAATGAAGCATGATAATATATTGGTATTCTATTTTGAAATATATTTTACATTAAACTTACTCATTCCAGCAACATTAGCAATGTATATTGATGATTATTATTTTGTGAATAAATTTTTTGACTTTCTAGCTCTTTATGGCTAAAATTTTTCATTGTTCATTTAATCTTTTCTTTCAGCTAATGTCTCAGAATCCTAAATATTCTCAGTTTTTATTTCAACTGTCTGATTTGGGTTGTCAGTTACAAGTACCTAAATTACGTGATACAGCACGCCATGTTTTAAAAATCATGCCTGCAGGTAACTTTACATGTCATCTTTATCTTGTTCTCCATTTTCTGCTTACTTAAATCAACATGGAGTGTTCATTTTGGGGTCTCTTGCTTGGTGAGTTCTGCACATTTGGGATTTATTGAATCAAACGAACGTTCATTAAAACAGAATGTATTCCATGTGTGCCAAAAAGAATAGTAGATCTGTAGACGTAATTCCAAATTGCAGAGAAGGAAATAAATAGCAAAATTTTTATTGTAGCATATTCCGCTTCCATAACGTTCGATTGAGGGTAGAAAAGAAATAGACGTAACCTGAACTCTCAAATCCTGCCCGACCTTTGATTAACCTTAAAGCTGGTTTTTGAACAAAAGAGAAGGCCCCAAAAGAATGAGCATATAAGACTAAAATCTCCGACCGCTGGTGTGCCCTCACCTTTAGAATAGTAAAAGAATAGTCTTGTTACGCTGTCATAGCAAATTTTCTCTCATTGCACACTGCATGGCCTATCCGCCTTAACAGGAGCAGAAATGGAAGATGTAAAACTCAAGAAATCTTGACTTTGTTATTTGAATATTATGGTTATATTAATTGATTTCAGATCAAACTGTGATAGAAAAGTTTCGTAATATTTGTACTGAGAATAATAATGGTGATGGTTGTATAGCTTCAGCATTAGAATCTTTATTTTTTAATGACTCACCAACACAAGTATTATATAATATAGAGGTAAGATTCTACTTGATTCCTCTCTCCTGTTCAGTAATATTTAGAATAGAATATATTATGTCAAATACATCCTTCACGCTTATGGCGACACCTTAAAGGGGTATGCCGCATTTTTGTAAAAAGTTTTCATTATCAAAAACGTCATAAAATTATTTCTAAAGTATGCTATTTATATATATATGTATCTACTTGACCAAACTGAATTTGTTTTTAAAGGGTTAATTAAAAACTGAGATTACTAATTGTTAATTAAACAGTTTCGGTGATTGGCTTTATAATGGTTCGATATTATTAGTTAAACCTTTAGAATATGTAGGAAATATATTTATCTACAATTAGGCGTTTATTTTACTCAAATTTTCTAACAGTTTCCAAAAAGCATAACAAATGTAAAAACATTATGTAATGTTTTTAAATATTTTTGGCATTTAAAATTTACGGCTGGATTTTTTTAGTTAAAACTTTTGGATACGTTTCTCTAGATTTTGGGTGCAAAGTTTTCCCAAATTTGAGCAACAAGTTTTCCACAAAGAACATGCTCTGCTATAAATGAAAGTAGAGGGTAGCACTCTTCTGACAATTTAGAATGGATGTTATTTCTTTATATTAGCTGTATATTGTATTATAAATTTTGTAGGTTTTATATAGTTTATTAATGCCAGCTTTAGATCCATTATCAGATGAAGCATTTGAATTTCAAGTAAGTTTTACTCTGATATTGTATATTTTAAACATAAAATGAAGGTTAAAAGTAATTTTATTTGTGGTGATGAAGCGTTTTTATATGCCCACACAAATAGTTTGGATGTATATTGTAATCACCCGTCGGTCTGTCTCTTTACATCTGACTTGTGCTCACTCTACGGGCTACAATTCAGATTACAGATTATTTTGATTTTTATTTTGTGGGATTTTCGTGATGATCTGATAATTTTTCACTGAAATATCATGTCCGACCTAGAGTTTTCACACTATTAACTGTATTGTGCAACTCGTGTTCACTCTACAGCCAACAATTCTTTATGGATTCTTTTGATTTTTATTTTGTGAGTCAATGTCATTATGAAGATGATCCTTTCGAATGATTCACCGAAATATCGTATCGTATCCAACTTAGCGTTTTCTCTCTATTGGCCATATTGTGCAACTCGTGCTCACTCTACGTCTACAATTCTTTTGGATTATTTTGATTTTTATATGCCCACACGTAGTATGGAAGTATATTGTCATCCATCCATCTGTTCTCAATTGACTTATGCGCACTGTACAGGCTACAAACAATGATTTGTAATTGCAATCAAAGCTGCTGGTGGGCATATTTTACCTTTCCTGACAACCGTAGGACGTAAAACTCCATTCATTTCACTTTAATTTTTTCCTGACAAGCTATTTTAGTAATTAAAATGATATTTTGATATGACTATATTTGTATGTTTCAGTATAATTTTGTAAGAAGTGGAGGTGTAGCTCTATCAATGAATATGATAACAAAAAATAATTTCTTACCAAGTGTAGAATTACCTACTAGAAGGTAAACATCCTCTTTTTTTTTCATATTGTCTTGATGTCTAGAAAGCAGAGATGTTATGTTATGTTAATTTTTGATCAGTCCTTGAATTGGACCTTTTTTTTGATTAAAATCAAGTTCTTGAGATTATTACTTGGTCACGTTGTCCATTTGATACACATGTACTTGTGTATATGTATTTTTCTGTATATATATATTGTTGAATTGTGGTGGCTTGGACATCTTGATCACAGCAACATAGTCTGTCCATTTAATATACATGTACTTATGTATTTGTTAAACAGGTTGTCCATTGATGTATTTTTAAAAAAAAAAAATTTTCATTCTTTATATTGTCCCCATGGGCTGAATGTTAGACAGGACCATGTCCTTGTGTATTGGACCTAATTCTGACCCATGTAAAATAAAGAGTTGATTATTATTATTATTATATGTCCTGAAATGTTATGAACTATTTTTGAATTTTCCAGAGCCTCGTATGTAACAGTATTAAAGATCTGTAAACTAATGTTAACTACAGTAGGACATGCTAAAGTTCAGGTGGTAGTTGATGCTTGTCACAGTGAACCAGGTTCTACTCCTGTCACACCAGATGAACATAACCAAGCTGCAGCTCTACAACAAGCTCTAATACATATACCTAGTCCAGACTCTGAGTTTAGAAATGTTGCTCTTAGATTAGGTCAACATTTAGGTCAACAGGTGAGTGGATGTTTTACTGTGGAATCCACAATTTGCACAATGAAATGTCAGTTTTATAATAGTAAATTGTATAGTAGGAAAATTTGGCTGATAATACGTGAAATTATATGTTGTACAAATTCATTTGTTTCAATTCCTCACTTCAAATTTTGTTTGATATGAGGGGGACTGGAGGTGATTTCCTATTCTTTGCTCTGAACTAAGGTCTTTTGCAAAGGAATTGGAAAGTTTATCTGCAGAAAATAGTATTCAAAAAGGTTTCTTAATTTCCCTTTCCCAACAAAAAAAATTAGTTGTAGACATTAAGTAATTTCATGGCATCCCATCTGGCTTAGTAATGTGCAAACATAGTATATTTCATCTCATGTGTCATGCTGAATTTCAGAAATGATTATCAGTACATAGCTAGAGATAATTAGTACTTCCCAGTGGTATCGAATGCAGCATAAAGTTTTTGTAATTTTGTCTTATTGATAAGATTATTTGTAATATTTTGTAGGCTACAGGAGTATTACCTGATCTATCAACAGTCAAAGCTATACAGAAGATAGCCTGGTCTTCTAGTAGCTGTTCTCTACATTTAGTTCATGCTTCTAATGAAGATATACACAAAGCACATGAAAAGGTTGGTTTTATTTAGAGCATCTGTAACTATTACAAGGAAAGCAATATGTCAGTTGCCGTCTTCAAGATTTCATGCAAAAAAAGACAAGTCAGAGAAAGAAGTAACTTTTGACCACACTTTCATCATTTGTTGAAACTAGGCTGCTAACTTGGCTAATTGCTTCAAAACAAATAAAAAAAAATGTAAATCGTCCAAAAAATTTCACAAAAAGATGTTGTTGGTCAATCATATTCTTAGGCTAAAATGGGTGTGCATTATATTTGCAAATCGCACTGGCTATTTGTACCGTCACGATGTGTGTTCTCTATGGCTGCTAATAACGGTACGGATAAGATTGGACACAATAGGTGGGCTAGATTTTCTGGTTTTTTTTGTGTGTGAAGCCATTTTGATTGTCAAGAATAATATTAAGTGACTTTGTTAGGAATTTTAGGTAGTAATATTGCGGTTAAGCAATGTTACGAAAGCACAGGCACAGGCATGTAGGCGTAACCTCTAGTGATAGAGCAATGTTTGTGAAGTTAGTTTAAAAGAATGATATAGAATATTTATGTTAGGGTTAGGTTGGGATGGCCTTATGTTATTTAATGCCCATTTTTGTACCGTCGCAGTGCGAATATCCACAGCCTTTCCAATATAAAGTATCTGATATTTTTCTCTGTAGATAAAAGAAGATGTGCAGTCAGATAATGAAGATATGATAGTAGCTAGAGAAGCTTTAGAAGTTTTAACAGTCTGTCTATCTCTATGTCCATCTGCTCTAGAATCATTAAATAAAGATAAAGCTTGGCAATGTTTTATCATAGATTTATTACTAATCTGTAAATCCAGGTAAGATTTCAAAGTCTTTCGATCTTATACCAAAAGTGGAATAGCTCAGTCTGTAGCGAGTAAAATTGCTGTCTGCTAGGCGATTATGTGCCTTGGGTTTGAATCTTCCTCAAGATAAAAATTTTATTGCCATTGCCAGTGCTTCAGAGAGTCGACTCGGCACAATTTTTTTTATGGGTTCAATAATTTCAATCATTTGGCCTACAAAATGTTTGACTGTTATGACTAAAATTCGAATTTTAGGATAATTTTAAGGGCATTGAAATTTTTTTTTTTTTTCAGCCGAGATGTACGTAAATGTGCTAGTGATCAATTTTATTTAATGTCTACTAAATGTGGTACCAGTCATCGACCTTTAGTATTTCTAATCACTTTACTATTTACTGTTTTATCGGTAGGTACTAAAAATGTTTTTTTTATCCAATATGGCCCATATGACATTGTAAATGCTGAGTGACTATGCGACTCATATTGCTTTTGAAATTTATCAATTGTGTTTGAATGTAGCTAAAATAAATCGCAGGGGGTAATTTGGATTGTTAAAAATTGTTTTTTTTTTGTTTTTTTTTTTCATTTTAGAGTACAGCTAAAGAGTATGCCAAGCAATCTCATGAATTTTTTCAACTTCTGTGCAAGTAAGTTTCATTGAAACTTTATACATAGACTAATGAAGTGGACAAATTATACTGAAAATGGAATGGTTTTCTGATTTGGACAAAATGAACAGACAATCGCTGAATTAGATTTGATATTATACTCTGCAGAAATAAGTGGTCCTTATTGGTTGATACTTTTTTTTACACCCACATAAAATGTGAAGCGTATATTGATGTCAGCCATTTCCGTGTCAGTTCGTCCACAATTACTTGTAAACACTCTCAGAGGCACAATTCTTGACAGATTTTGACAAGACTTGGTAATATTCTTCATTAACACCCCAAAAACTTCAAAATAAGTATATGTCTGAAGGTTGAATATCTTTTTGGGTCATTTTACTTTTTTAATCTTCATTCTTCCAATGAAAAAGAAAGTAGAAAATCAGTTTGTTGACTTACTAGTACTATATTTGTAGGTTATTGAACTATGCCTGTGCCAGTACTACTATGTTACCTACAGCTGAAGCTCTACTCAATAATGAAATTATCTGGTTAAAATGGGTCAAGGTAGGTAAATGTTACAGTTGATTACAGTCAGAAATAGTTATAGATGCTCAGTGAATTAAGCTCTTGCTCGCTAACCTAAGAGTCTGATATACAATCCCACCATGGGTTGAGATAAAACCGCTGTCAGTGATGCAGGCAGTGATGCAGGTCGGAGGGACTGACATGGAAAAAGTCTGATCAGTCCGATGGGACAATAAACCAAGACCTTGTGTGTTACAGGTTCTGAACATTAAACATCCCTTGACAGTTGGAAACAAAAAAATGGCTTATGCTGTTCTCCTGGCAAAATTTCCCTCATTGGACACTGAATGGCTTTTACTTGTCCTCACTAGCCCAAACACGTGCAAAAAAGTATAACACCATAAAACTCCATTTCTTTTGTTTTCATTTACCATGAATGCCTGATTTACCCGGGCTGTATCTGACCGTGGACACTCTGATAAACAATTATGATAGAATGTTCGGAAATTGTATTCCAGACACAGATGCAATCATCAGGAGAATTACAAGTTGAAGAAGCTCTATTAGAAGGACATCTGGGTATAACTAAAGAGCTGTTATCATTTCAACCTACTGAGAAAAAACATAAAATAGGTTCAGAGAATGGTGGAGATAATCTCATCAAGGTATTTTAATGACTTTGATAAGAGTTCTTTTACACCCATGACAAGATTGATTAAATTTGATGATGATATAGAATAATGAATTCCAGGGCTTTATGGCTATCTAACCTTGGTAATGGGGTTTGTAATCATGGCGTAGGTCTATATGATATCTTTAAAATTGTCAATCTTGTTTTGCCCCTCAGTGATGCACGTGGGAGGGGCTGGCATCGAAAAGCGTGTTGTTGTTAAGCTATCTACAAACTGTTCAAGTGAATATTCTTCGACAATTGAGAATCTTAAAAGAGTACACTTATGTTACTGTCCTTGCAAGTTTTCCCTGATTGCACACTGCGTGGGTTTTTATCGTTTTCAATGACCCTTAACCATTGCAGACAAATTGAAAGTAGTTAAATATTCAAATTGTTTCAGGAACTGGTGGAAGATTTTATATTTCCAGCATCTAAGATAATGTTACATTGTAATTCTGAGACTGGTGAATTCCCTGCAGAAGAAGCTATACCAGTGTGTTCTTCACCACATACAGTAGTAGCAGCTTATGATTTATTAGTAGCTTTATGTACTGGTTGTTTAGCCAATCTGAAATACCTATCATCTGTTATTATTGAAATGTACTATACAAGTAAGTATAGGACCTATACCAGCAATTTTGCTTAACTTCGGTTATTATAGATGGCCCTCAGCCAAACATTTTGGCATTTATATTTCTGGATGATGGAAAAGAGTGTTACTCAAATTCACCAGACTCTCTAAGGCTGTTCAACTTTGGATCCTACAACCAACATGGTTTCGACAAATTTTTATGTTCTATAAGAGCTTTGTACAGTTTGTTGGGCTCAATGACAGGAATTATGAGTCTTGCCTCTCGACACTTCACGGAGCCGCGGTGGCTCAGTAAGAAGTCTCACTAACCTGAATGTCCAGCGTTCAATCCCGGCATAGGTTGAGATAATACCTTAGGATTTACAACCCAGTTTCCTTGTCAGTGATGCAGGTAAGAGGGGCTGGCATGAAGAAAGATATCTATGTTATTAACACTTCTATTTTACTATTCTCTTTTATTAGATGATGCTGCACTAACAGAATGGGAGTATCTTCCACCAGTTGGACCCAGACCACCAAAAGGTTTTGTTGGATTGAAAAATGCTGGAGCAACATGTTATATGAATTCTGTGTTACAACAGGTATAGCTACATGTATATTTCCTACATCCTGCTGTCCTTCTAGATTAGAAGCCAGGGTGGGTTAATTACCAAAGGTCTTGTGCTAGATCCCAGCATAGTTTTGTTTTTCCCCTTTGTTTTTGTTCAGATGGGTTGGTCCACTGGCTTTGCAGGTTTTAGATCCTTTGACATTTGGAAAACTTAAAGAGTAGGCTTGTGCCTTATTATACCAAATACACCACATAATGCACTTGGATGGCTGTCCTAGACCAGGAATATGAGCAGAGAAGCACATAAAAAACATACCATTTCACATACCTTCGTAAAGATATTGACCTAATATGGTGGCATTGTGACAGTGAACTCTGATGACCTTTTCTTACCTTTGATATTATAGATATTTATGATAGAACCTGTACGTATTGGTATATTAGCTGTAGAAGGAGCTGCTGATGATTTTGAAGATGATTCTAATGATGATAAAAATGAGTGTGAGGTAAGGTTATCCCTTCGTTAATTTTGAACATACACCTGTTGATGATAGATTTATTAGTCTATGCAACTTGCCATGTTATGCTGTTAATAACTTGACCAAGTGCAAATATTACTCCATTTTTGGTACACACTTAAAAATTCTGGATAAAGTGCTCTGGACAATTCGAATTTGCTGCTAAAAAAGACCTGCTGCAAGCAAAATGTTGTATTATAGATAAGAACCAGATAAAGAGTACGACTAGATAAAAAATGGTTTATATATTTCAGACTAATATAGATCTTGGAGAAGAAGAAAAGAAAGAAGAAGAAAAAGGAACAAGAGAAGAAGAAAGAAAAGATTATGATATGGGTGTTTTAAAACAAATACAATATATTTTTGGTCATTTAGCTGCTAGTAAATTACAGTATTTTGTTCCTCGTGGCTTCTGGAAACATTTCAAGTAAGTCAAGGTCCTTTTTTATCAGCTGGTCTCTGGTTATCTACTGGATCTCAGATTTTCTCTATTTTATAAATTACATTAGGTCGAGTGAAAGGTTCTATCAAATTAAGAATACCATGAATACATGACAAAATTTGCATATTTATTCACCTGTGCTACGAGTTCATATGATTTTTATGAACCTGTGTTATGAACCCAGGAACAGTATTGTTGACATAACATTCTGTAATTGTTTATTTCAGACTATGGGGTGAACCAGTAAATCTAAGAGAACAACATGATGCTCTAGAATTTTTTAATAGTTTAGTTGATAGTTTAGATGAATCATTGAAAGCCTTAAATCAACCTACAGTCATGTCAGATATACTGGGAGGGTCTTTTGCTGATCAGAAAATCTGTAAAGACTGTCCTCATAGGTTAGTAGAAGGTTTTTCTCTGGAAAAAATATCCTTCAGATCCATATGGATTTCAGAAAAAATGTGTAAACAGGGCTACTGTAGAATATTGCATGTTTTACGACCAAACAACCACAAAATATTTCTCATGTTCAGCGTAGTGTTTACTCAAATTCTTAATTCACCTTGCCTCTATATATTTTTTTCTTTGATACAATGAGTTGTGCACCTGTAATAGCTGCTTCAAATTGGAGTAAAATCTTTGCTAGGTATGAAAAAAGTTTGTGTCAATGGCCAGTATACCAAAGCTAGGTCTAGACTCTTTCCAGTGCTCTGCATTCACTTATATGGTTTCTCTCAAATCCTTTATAATGAGTTTGTTGGTTGAATTATGAGCAGCAAGAAATGATTTTGGAATTTTAACTTGCCTTTCTAAATTAACTGTCCTGATGAGGATTTTATAACCAAAATGTGTCCAGAGTATAAGATGAGCTCTTATCAATAGGTTGACTAGTGCATATTAGCTTTTACCTCTAATAAACAGTGAAATGATTTCAATGCTTTTCAAATTGTGAGTAATATTTTGTAGTTATGAGATATTTGAATGTTTATCTTATGTTTTTATTTCAGATATCAAAGAGAAGAAGCATTTACAACATTAAATGTAGATATACGAAACCATCAAAACCTATTTGAATCATTAGAACAGTATGTGAAAGGAGATTTATTAGAGGCAGGCAATGCTTACTATTGTGAGAAATGCAATAAAAAGGTAAGATAAGATTTTTATAGTTGGTAGGAATTAGTTTAGCAAGTAGTTAAGTGATCTGGTTTCTCTTAGTCATTGAAAATTTTCACTCAGCTGTTTTTGGAGTGTTCCCTCATGTGAAATTCTAACAAGCACCCATGCTGGCAAACTAATGTCCAATTGGATGTATTTGTGTGTGTCCCACTATCTTTGTATTTTATTGAGCCTTTATGAAAAGAACTTCTACTCTAAAATGTTGCACTGGGTCTATGTCTGTCTCTTTTGACTAAGTTTTTTTATCTCCTTCTCTTTTCAGGTTGATACAGTAAAAAGACTTGTGATAAGAAAGTTACCCAAAGTTTTAGCAATTCAATTAAAACGTTTTGACTATGATTGGGAGAGGTAAGCTTATTGATGTATTAACTTGTACTTGTAAGTAAATCGGTGGCACTGCAAGTTTTTTTGTTTTTTTTCCACAGTGAACGCATGTCTATTCTAGCCCATTAATGTTGGAGTCTTCGCAAAGTAGCTTATGGTGTACATATAACTACTGTTATTTATTTGGTATATTTATTATATGCCATTGATGGTTTAGGGCGAGATAGAAACTATTCTTTAACCTGTTAGAATCTAAGTCTAAAAACTTGAATTAAACTAAATTAGGACTGTTAAGTGATGCTTGCAAGACCTGCTTACCCTTCTCGAATATCTGATGTCACTTGGTTTGTCCAGTTGGTATTCCATCATTACAACATCTAGTCATATGGAACCCTGGAAAAAGGCTCTTGAACACAACCTGGTGCTTGTTTTTTAAGATTTCCTATTCTTTTTTTCCAGGGAATGTGCAATTAAATTCAATGATTATTTTGAATTTCCCCGTGAATTTGATATGGAACCCTATACTGTACAAGGTTTAGCTAAGATAGAAGGAGAGATCATTGATGATGAATGTGAAGAGAAAGAACAGAATACTAAATATAGATTAATAGGTGTTGTTGTCCATAGTGGTCAAGCTAGTGGTGGTCATTATTATTCCTATATATTACACAAGTAAGTCTTTGCTAAAATTAACAATGATTTTGAAATGAGAATTCTTATAGGGCTTTTATGGTATGAACTTTTATGAGATTTTGCATTTTTCAGACCTCGTGTGAAATATTCTAAATTTATTGCAAAGAAGTTGGTGAGTTTGTTGAATAAAAGAATCATTGGATGCAGAGTTCCTCCATGATGTCCATTCATTAGATGGATTTTCTGATTTGCATATAGGGTATCTATCACTCTACTTGTTTAGGTCAAAGTGCCTAGAATTACTGACTAAATACTTATTGTGCTGATTGTAAGGTTGTTCTAGGGGTAATGTTGAAGGATTAACTGTTTATTTTGAATCTATTATATTATAGAAGTCCGAATGATACTAGTGCTAAATGGTATAAATTTGATGATGGGGATGTAACAGAATGTAAGATGGATGATGATGAGGTCAGTTAAGTTATTTTAATGTCTTTGGCTATTTTTTATTTATACTGATAGTAGACTGGAATTGACAAGTTAATTTAAGATATTTATCACAGAAGCTAATGCTGCTATATAAGCAAATATCAGTTCAGAACAAGTATATATAGCAAATTATTGTTAACCATTGTTTAAATTTTTTATCTTTTATAAGTTTTTGTTGGGATTTCCTAATATTTTAATAATGAAATTGTAGGAGATGAAAAATCAATGTTTTGGTGGAGAATATTTAGGAGAAGTTTATGATCACATGTTAAAAAGGTATGTAATTTTAATCTCTTTATTAGTATTTTAAAACAGCTGAGGGTTCCAGCATTAACTACATTTATAATTGAATATATATATATTTATTATTGATTTTGTATCATTGATTTTCGGATTTGCTGTTATTCTGTCAAAATGCATTAAAATCAGTATCAAATCAACATTAAAATGCTTACACAGTGGAAAATAATAGCTTTGACTGAGAAATTATTACCAGGCCTTATATCGAATCTAGCCTTAAAGTAATACATTAATCTGATTGGATAATAACACTTGTTTCAAAATTGATTTTAGTGATTGACCAATCAGATTGGAACACTAAAATCAGTGAATTTCTGAATACAAAGCCCAAGGTCATCCTGTGTATTTATAACATGTATTAAACCAAATTATTTGTACATTTTTTATCTTTGAAACATGCGTATTTTATATATCAAATTACCTATGTTGTTTGATTGTTTAGATCTGCCTTTAGACGTCAGAAAAGATGGTGGAATGCCTATATATTATTTTATGAAGGTATATCAGAATCTAGTGTAGAAAATAAAGATATAATTAAAGAAATAGAAAAAATGTCGATAAGTAAGTACATACAATAATTGTATATTTTGTGTTGTTCAAATTATACTTTGGGTTCCAAAAAGCAGTTCTGAAAGAAACAACAGAAGAGGTTTTCTCCCACAAGCACTGTCCAAGGTATCAGAATCTTTCTTACATAGCTTTCAATTGCTTTACAGATGAAAATCCAACAGGTTACTGAAAGAGCATTTCTGTAGCCCAATTGATATTTTTATTAGACTAAATCAAAGGTCTAAATGCTTGCTTAACATCATTATTGGACTTGTTGATTAAATACTAATGCATAATCCATTATGTTGTAGGTACCAGCAATAATCCAATCAACCCAGTGAAAATGCCAAAGGCCATAGAAAGTCATGTACGAAAACAGAATATATTGTTTATGCATGAAAAAATCCACTTCTCTGTTGAATATTTCCAGTTTATTAAGAAATTAACTATCTGTAACCATTTAATATTAGCACAGGCTTATTCTGATAAACTGGTAAGTATTATTGAATTTTCTTTACAAATACTACCTATATAGGTTTGTTTTATAATTGGCATATAAGAATGGTGCTTTCTTCTATGCCTCATCTTTATTTTTGGATCCTATAGTTAGGAGCTCGGTGGCTCAGTGAGTTAGACGCTTGCTCGCTAACCTGAAGGTCCAGGATCAATCCTGGCATAGGTCGAGATAATACCCTCGGATTTTTCAACCCAGTTTCCCCCTGTCAGTGATGCAGGTAAGAGGGGGTGACATGGAAAAAGTGTATAGTCGTTTGGATGGGACAATAAACCGAGGCCCCGTGTGTTAAAGGCTGTGCACGTTAAAGATCCCCTTGACAGTTGAAAATCGAAAAAAGAGCAGGCTAATGCGGCTGTCCTGGCAAAATTTCCCTCATTGCACCTTGCATGGCGTTGCCCGTCTTCATTAGCCCACATGGTGTAGAAAAGTAGGAAGTAAAACTCCATTCATTTCATTTCTATAGTTAGAAAGTTCCAGACTGAACTGAATAGCTCTCTTTTATGCAATTATGCAAAAGTTATAATAGAATTAGCTTAAAGCGTAAAGAATAACTTGCTCTCTGTGCTATGAATGCCTTAAATGTATTTGTCAAATATGCTCTTTCTTACTCTATATAGGAGTTAAAAATTGAAATAGATTTTGCATTGCTATATCTACTCTGTGAACATGATAGTGACTTGAAAAACTTGCTAACAAATATTACATCTACTGATTTATTTGTATTCATTTATTCATTAATAATTATTCATTAAATAATTTTTTTTTTTTTTTTACAGACTCCAGAATCTGAAAATATAGCTAGAATTAGTGTGGAGCTGGCCTCCAAATTTTTATTTAATGCTGGCTTTCATACCAAAAAAACAATAAGGTAATTTATTAACTGAATATGAATACAACTACTCAATATTTTAACTTATGAACAAATATTAAAAAATATTAAGAAAATCACACTGTAAGATTTCATTAAGCATGTGAAAATTTCCTGAATTGCTTTGAAATAATTCATTAAAAGGGGTTATATTTCACGATGAATACATGCCGAAAATGTGCACAAAAAAAAGACACCAAAAGACTACAGGTACATATTTCATAAAATAGCTTTATGCCCCTACCAAGAGTTGATTCTAGTTGCAGACTAACTTTTTTTTTTTTTTTTTTTAATTTACCAAGTTATCAGTGTTGTTTGTACTAAGTTTATATATATTATATTTACAGAGGTCCTGCTGGTGACTGGTATGATGCATTACATATCCATTTCCGGTGTAGCAAAGTGGTTCGCAACTGGTTTGCTAATCATATTTTATTTGCACAACCGTCACGGTTTGCTGAATATTTATTAGAGTGTCCTAGCTCAGAGGTTACTATCTGCTTTTCTGCATTACATCATGCCCTCCTCCCCCCCTCCCCCTTCTTAATAAGTCACTGAAATCAATGTACTGGTACCATAAAAACATTTCTTTTAGAATTCGAATCTGATTGTTCTTCATGGCACATATCATGCTCTCTTAGTATGTTCTTGACTATCATTTTGATGAAAGAGTAAAGCACACTAGGCTGAAAATTAAGATGTTGACTTACTTATTCTAGGTACGACATGTGTTTGCCAAGATAATTGTGATATTAGCTCATCTTTCTTTACAAGATGGCCCTTGTCCTCCACCATTAGTACAAGGTTTATATGGTAAGTAACATGATCTCTTTACAGTATGATCTTCTACAAACATTTCATGATGATATACCTTAGATTTCTTAGCATTTGCTGTGCTGGCAGAAAATTTTTTTTTTACCTCATTGACAAAAATTGTATTAATCATTTGTGGAACATGAAATGCTCCTGAAATTGGTACTGACCTTTGGCGTAGAAAGCCCTTTTGATAAACGCTCAGACAGCTGCTTTCTATCTAGTATTAAATACAGGGCCATAAATGAGGCAAATGCTAATGCTGTTTTGATGTCTATGGTAAAGGTTACTATTTGTTAACTTCTGAAAGCGCTGCAATGAAAGCCATAACTGACTGCAAAGACAACAGAATTTTTTATCTCACACCAACCCAGTGATATACATGTTTCATATCTTATCGTATATTTAGAGAAATCTGTAATTAGTACATAATCTGTAACTGACAACTGCGTTACTTGTTTTCAAGACAAGTCGTGATGATGTACTGGTATTTAATTTCAGTTCAAGGTCAACCAGCTGATCCTAATGCTACTTTATGTGATCATCTATTACTAGCTGTTTTATCTTTATTACGTAAAGAAGTTTCTGAACATGGTCGCCATTTACAACAATATTTCCATCTCTTCTTAATGTTTTTAAATTTAAATCTAGGTATACAAGAGGTAAGAGACTTTTCTTTTGAAGAAAAAATGTATCAGTCTGAAGAAGTCGATGTTTTTAATCAAAGATCATGATCTGAGCAAATTGTTAAGCACCTTAGGTTCAAGACTACTAACATATTCAACTAATCAAATGCTCTGTTCAATCAAATCTTAGTTTATAATTCTGGGATATTCATAAGCATGGACATTTTTCATTGGTTTGCATAGATTAATGCAATCAGGTCAAGTTTTGAAAAAGATGATAAAATCCTTCAGATCATGGATGGAGAGTGGGGTAACCCTTAGAGAAATTTCTTCATGAACTTTTTCAGGATGCCTTACCATGCTCAGTTTTGTTTATTCTGGCAACCTTGAATTAGTCATCTTCAATCATTAGTTCTGTCTACCTCTGTCTGACAAAGCTCATTGCTGAAAAACAGAATCCACCATAGCTTTGGTTGTTAGCCTTGTAAGAAATGGTTGTTTCATTCTTTATCATTATAAAAATAATAATTCCTTTCGGGTTATAAGGCCACTTTCATTCTTTATCTTCTGTTTTAGAAACAAGAATTAATCAAGCTACAAGTACCAACGTTTTTTATGGCTGTAGCATTAGATGAGGGACCTGGACCCCCTATTAAATATCAGTATGCTGAATTAGGAAAACTCTATTCTGTTGTCTCACATTTAGTACGATGTTGTGATATTTCTCATCGCTGCCAGTCTTCAGTATCGGTAAGTTACTATTAATAATAGTATTTAGCTTTAAGGGACAGGTTGGTCATCTGTTTGACCAAGCGTATCTCAGTCTCAGAAACAGGAACTTTTTAGCTTAGCTAATCAGTAATAGTGTTTGCAGCTCACCGTCGAAATTTGAGCCTTCAAATCCATGTGTGTCAAGTCGTGTTAAAAAGTCATATATGTTAGAAAAGACATACAAGATAATAGATAAAGAAATTCCTAATTTGAGATATTGTGCGGTTTTCTTTCATTTCTAGTACTTTTGCAAACTACATATATTCAAGACCCAATTTCATTAATTTTTCAAACATTTTTATGATTGTATTAACAATGTAGTTTGGTTAGAATTCCAAATTGTTTCATGATATTTTCCAGGGTCAAGTGCCACTAACTAATCCTCATGGTGATATATCTGGTTTACAACTATCTATACCTAAACCAGTAGAAGAGATGTTATTTAGTCGTACATCTTATGTTAAAAAACTAATAGAAGAGTGTAATAATACTGAAGAAACTACTAAGTTATTAAAATACTCTTGTTGGGAAAATCCACACTTTTCTTCCACTGTTCTTAGTGAATTGTTATGGCAGGTAAGAGAAATTGTCATCATGTTAGTCCAATCGATTTGACAGTGAATTGTCATCATGTTAGTCCACACTATTTGACAGTAAATTGTTATCATGTTAGTCCAAACGATTTGACAGTAAATTATCATCATCTTAGTCCACACTATTTGACAGTAAATTATCATCATGTTAGTCCACACTATTTGACAGTAAATTATCATCATGTTAGTCCACCTATTTGACAGTAAATTGTTATCATGTTAGTCCACACTATTTGACAGTAAATTGTCATCATCTTAGTCCACACTATTTGACAGTAAATTGTTATCATGTTAGTCCACACTTTTGACAGTAAATTGTTATCATGTTAGTCCACACTATTTGACAGTAAATTGTCATCATGTTAGTCCACACTATTTGACAGTAAATTATCATCATGTTAGTCCACACTATTCGACAGTAAATTGTCATCATGTTAGTCCACACTATTTGACAGTAAATTATCATGTTAGTCCACACTATTTGACAGTAAATTATCATCATGTTAGTCCACACTATTTGACCAGTAAATTATCATCATGTTAGTCCACACTATTTGACAGTAAATTATCATCATGTTAG